GGTCTAGGGCCTAATCCTATCCAGCATAGCTTTCATACATTCTAGTTTTATCTCCAGAAGGATAGTTTGTGTCTTTTAAAAATATCTTCTGTGTCTCTTCTGGGCTTTTTGTGAAACCCCATTATAATAAATATTTACCATCTTTCTCTGCTCATTTTAACATCCTTGCCTGTTCTGGGTCAGTTTCAATTGATTGCTTTTCTCCTCATTATGGATTGTTTTCCTGCCTCTTTATATTTCTGATAATCTTTAATTGGATGCCAGACATTATGAATTTTACCTTTTTGGGAGATGGATATTTTTCTAATCATATAAATATTCTTGAGTTTTGTTCTGTTATGCAGTTAATTGGAAGCAGTTTGAACCTTTTGTGTTTTCTTTCAAGATTTATTAGATGGGGGCTAGGGATGCAGCTCAGAGGTAGAGCACTTGCCTAGCACTCTTGAGGCCCTGGGTTCTATCTCTAGCACCAAAGAATTTATTAGGTGGAAATTTTTTCAACTATGGTTAATTATTCCCCATTTCTGAGGCAGTGTTTCTTTGCTCCCTACCAATGTCTGTGAATTATCAGTTTGACTGCACAGAACAGCTGGTTAATACTCAAATGAAACTTTTGGGGGACTTTCTGCAGATCTCCAGAGTTTTCTACCTGTGTAGCTAGTATACCACTCTAGGCCTCTGTCTTGGGAGTTCTTGTTGCCGTGGTCTCCCTGATCTTAGGGGCGTCTCAGCTCAGGGAGTCTCCCGGGTTTCCCTAGAAACCTTTCAAGGCAATTGGAGGACTCACCTTGTTTACTTCCCATGCCTCATGAGTCTCTGTCCTTGGCTGCCTGGTATCCAATGCCTTGAAAATGATGGTTTCCTACATTTGTTTTTGTGGCTTTAAGAAGGAGGGTATGCCCAGTTCCTGTTATTCCATCTTGGCAAGAAGTGTAAACAGCACCTCAGATACTGCCAGATGGCCATGTTGTCACTCCCAGGAATGTCAGAAAAACTCAAGAAGAAGGAGGAGAATGTAGCTTTGCTGGCCACAGAACACCTGAGGCTCTTCTTGGGTACCTTTTGTGAATTTTCCACCTTGAAACTTTTATAACATTCACTTAAATGGAATTTCACCAAATGAAAATATGTGAGTGAGGAGAGCACATGCAGCCTCTGCCAGGAATTCCTACTTGCCAGCACCCCAGATCTTCTCTCACCCATGACCAGTCTTTAGGTATATGCCTGGCTCTCCCTCTGTTTCCACAGGGCCCCACCCACCTACACAGACTTAGATTTGAGGCTCGTGGGCATGACTATCAGGTTGGAGTGATGTTCAGTATGGCCCCGTGCATCCTGTGAGGAACACCTCAAAGGTCAGGGTGGATCTGACTACCATCTGAGTGTCCTGAGTTTTAGAAATGTCTGTCTCCCTAGGATTCTCTTGTAGCCCTAACTCACTTGGGTCACCAGTCCATCTCTCAGTCTAGAGGCTTCTCATTTGGGGTTAAATGTTGGTGAACCCAGGTAAAAGGCCACCATACATATTGCTTGGGGCAGAGTATGGTCAGGTGACTTCTCTCAGATCATTACCCTGGTCTCTCTAACTTAGATGTAATAATTATCTTGTTAATTTAGTGTTAATAGCAAACAAAAGGGGTGGACAGGCAACCTGGCCTCAGACAGGAGCCACACTTCACTAGTCATGTTAAGAGATGATATTTATAAAAAGAATTTTATTTTCAAGTAGACATTAATAGTTGTCCAATTCATCAAATCAAATGGAGTTGACATGGGTGTGAATTGCCCCATTTTTCCCCTTTCATATAAATCTGATTTTCAGGAGCATGTTATTTATTTTTTTAATAGGTAATTTTTACCCATGTCTAGTCCATGGGCCTGGGGTAATTCCCTCCTCTGTAGAAGAAATTAACTGGCCTTTTCACCCCTCCCCTTTGCTCCAGCCAATGCAGGTGTGTATGGCTGGCAGAGTCACTAGGCCAGGGGGATTTCTCCTCAGTGGGTTTTCTGCTTTCCTGAATCACCTGATGTTCTCAGACTCACAGGAATACATGCAACCCATTGCTGCCCTGAGTTCCTATGGCTTCAGAAGGAGGCTCAGACAAGTAGAGAAATAAGGTGCCAAGATGATGGTAGTGACCATTAGTACACAGAGCTGGGCTGGTACCAGAACAAGCTTTCACATGGTCCTGCCTGGGAGAGAGCCAGAGACCATGCAGAAGGGTGCTGCTTCTGTACCCTGTACCTTTGATCCCTCTTGCTTTATTTTTTCCAGACCAGAAGGGCACCCAGGTGGGAAGAGCCTTCCTGGGACAAGGGTAGGAAAAAACACATAGAAGCCAATTCTTGTGCCTAGAAGGTGGAATGGACCACGTCAGGCATCTGTTTATGAGCTTGGGCTGAGGGGAGGGCCCAGGCAGGGCAGAGAGCCCAGGCCTGTCAGGACACCTGCTGGAGCAGTGGGGACAGAGGGGCTGTGAGGCACTCAGGGGAGCCCAGAAGCACAGAAGCTTTTGACTTGTGACCATTTAAAATCAACAAAGCAGGAAAAGCAATCCTTTAAAAATGTTGTTAGATCATGTTACTCTTTTGCTTCAAACCCGCTGGACAAAATCCAGTGTCCTGATGGTAGTCTCCAGGGCTGCTCCCCTGTTGCCCCTCAGCCTCATGCCTGTCCTCTGTCTTTCTCTTTCTCTCCTGATACTTCTGTCCCTAGTTCCATAGACCCCTCAATTCTGTGAACATACCAGGCATGATGCCCTTCTGGAATGCTCTTTTCCTGATATTATTTACAAGGCTCACTCCCTCATCTCCTTCATGCCTTTGTTCAAATGCAATCACCCTCACCCCCCCTCACCCCCAATTCCTTATTCTGGTGTATTTTCTCCCATATCATTCTGGTGACTTAATAGCACATGACATAATTCCCTCACGTTATGACATCATTTGGTTCTCCCGACGGAAGACTGTGGATTTCATGAAGGTAGAGGTTTTTTTTACTTGTCTATTCAAGAATTGATTTATCTCCCCTGCCTGGAACAAGGCCTGGCATGTAGTTGATGCTTGAAAAATATTAGCCAAATGGGCTGAATAACTGCAATAGAGCTCCTTCCACCAGACACAGGACGTGCAGAGACCCAGGCCACACAATGCTGCTTGGGCACTGAGGTCTCTAGGCCTGAGTCTTGTGGCCAATGGAGACTTTCCTTATTCAGACTCATGGAATTCTAATGTTCCATTAATCCTTTAAGTAATTAACTAGGGCACAGAAAAACCAAACTCTTGCAGATTTGACTCGACTAAAGTAAAATAGCACAAGGGATATTAAGAAGCCCACTCAGGGACCAGTACCTTGTCACTTGGATTTTCTGAAATTTGCAAGATTTCTCAATTACTCTCTATTTATCCCTTTGTGGAAGAGAGCTGACCTACTTGGGAGGCCCTGCAATATTCTGGCTGAGTCTACTGCTGTGGGGACCAGCCGCAATCCCTGTAGGTGTGGACCATTGTCTTGGAGCATCTGAAGAGTGAGTGGAGCACACACAGTTGGCAGCCACTATGATGCATCACAGACAACACGCCATGCACACACGCACACACAGTATGTCCAGAGAGACAGCCATGAGACGCGTGGGGGTGGGCACTGGGAGTCCTTCGTGACATGCATCTCTGGAGGTTGACGGCTCTCATACACCTGGCCCAGGTGGAGACAGTGGAGACAGGAAGTGCGAGAGAATGAGTGAACCAGAGGTTAGGATGAGGTCAGAGGTAGAAGAGAAAGGTGTCAGGACATGATCAATAGAAGATGAGCTCTACACCTGGTGGCCCTAGATGGCATGTTTCACAGACACAGAACATGGAGAGAGAATGGGGAAGGGCTTGGCAATGCACAGGCTCTGCTTGGCAGAAGAAGGCCCTGGGTCCGGCTCAGCCCAGACTCTCTGGCCATCACTGCCAGCATGATCATTTTTTTTTTTTGCCCTTAAAACTAGGGTCTTAGGGAGCATTAACATTGCCATACAGCTGCACAGGGTGACATATCTGATACTGGAAGAACATATTTCATAGAGCTAAAAATGTTTTCAAGTTTGGTAAAGAATCTTAGGGATCTAACGCAGCTGGTTTTAAAGGCGAGGAGACAGCTTGGCCACACAGGGAGTTGGCAGGAAGGATGGGACAGAACCCAGGCCTCCTGAAACACCACAGAGGGCTGAGGTTGAAGTGGCTCTTCTACTCGTTGCCCACTGGCTACAGAGGGCAGGTGAAAGGAAGGCATGGGAGCCCCCAGGCTCTGTGCCTTCCAGCTGTGCTGGTGGCTATTTTCACTGCTGCTTCAAAAAGAAGCAGCTGTGGGGTCCTGGGGCAAAAGCTGGGCCTCCAGGGCTGCCTCTCCTTGGGCTAGATCTCACTGGGGCTCCCTGCCATGTTGAACCACACCAAAAAGAGTGAAGGGAGACAGATGGAATGAGGAAAACAGAAAAGAAAGAGTTAAGGAAAGAGATAGGACTCAAACTAAAGGAAACCACTTAGCCTCCCCACGTGGCCACAGTGGGATTTCTTAAACAACATCCAGCTAATGCACACTGGACCTCGAACCAGAACCTTTGCTTTCCAACCACAGAACGTTCTAAAATAGGGACACCAATATCCCAGAGAGAGCCTATGCCTTGTGATGAGTGACACAGAAAGTTCATGGACTGTGGAGCAAGGGTCTAACCAGGTGCTTCCCAGACTCAAGCTCTTTCCCACCACATCCAGCCTTGCTGGGACCTCTGTGCTAGTGGTGAGGCCTGGGAGACACTCCACATGTGGTTACAGAGGCAGGTGGCATGGGGGAGTGTGCCCACCTGCACAGGTGTATGCCACCTGTCTCTCTTGCTTGTCTCTGTTCTCCCTGGGGGAAAAATGGTTTGGAGGGAAAAGTGTCCTGGGAAGGGGCCTTGAGAGCTGGTGCCTGGAAGGTCCAGGCCAGCAGCTGCCTCCAACCAGAGGAAACTCACCATTCATCTGGGAGGGTGACAACGAGTAGTCCCGGTCCGCGTGCCGGCGGTCTGGCTTCAGATTGCGGCTCTGTCTGCCTGAGCCCTCCAACATGTTCACTATCTCACTGCGGTCAATGTTCCGCAAAGCTGTGTACAGATTCTCCACTGTCAGAAGAAAGAAGAGAAGAGGCACCTGAGGAGCAAATTCTCATGATTCTAGAGCAGCCAGGGATTGTTTTGCAGGCCTGAAAACTGGGCCAGGAGGATGATGGGAGAAGGGAGATGATCATTTTTTTTTTCAGAAGGTGAGGGACCCTACTTTTGTCAGAATCGACCCAAAATATTTCTTTTTTCTTTTTTTGCTACAACAGATCTTTTCCAAAAACTAGCAGTGTCCATCACACTTTTTTTTTTTTTTTTGCAGGGCTAGTGACAACCTCATGAATGCTAGGCAGGTGTTCTGCCACTGAACTACACCTCCAACTCCTCAGCAAAGCATCCAAAGACTGATGTTTTGTAATCTAAGAGGAGTACAACAAGAAAATGAGGGTAAGAATGATTGGATTTTGTCCTTTTGAAATTCTGAGTCCTTGCCTGTTGATTTGAGATGCAAATGAAAACATTCAAATTTCTCTTAGTGTTGTTGAGGACAGGAATTTGGTTGAGGATACTTTGAAAAGAGGGTGAGTCAAATCTTTCCTCCATGTTGGACAAAGATGTGCCTGGGGACAGAACTGTTCCTTCTGGGATTTGGCCCACCCACACTCTGCTCTAAGCCAACACTCATTTGGATGAAAAGTCCAACAGGAAGACTGAAGATGAGTCGACATATATGCTGTCATCAGGGGGTGGGAGAAAGACTGAGGCCAAGATTCACTGGCAATGTGTTCTAGCAGGATTGCCTGGAAGTCCTTTTGGCTGTGAGTGGTGCGTGAGTGTGTGTGTACGTGTGTGTGTGTGTGTGTGTGTGTGTGTGAGAGAGAGAGACAGAGAGAGAGAGAGACAGAGAGACAGAAAGACAGAGATCACAAGGACCAGCATTAGGGGTGGAATTGGAAGGAAGAGCTACTTGGGCAAGAAGTAGGTCCTAGCAAGTCTGTGGAACGAGGCCTCCTCAGCTTGGGATACTGACTTTTTGCGTTTTCGCCTTCACGGACGATCCAGAGGTTCAACAAGGCTGTGCTCTGCTCCAACAAGGAGTTAGGGTTTTCTACACGGATCCTGTTGATGTCTTCCACACTGAACTGTAGCTCTCTGGCCAACTCTGCAAGCAAACACCAAGAGCAGATGTGAGCACAGGAAGTCAGAGCACTTTCCCTTTAGATTCGTTGTTTCCTCCTCACCAGGGACCTGGTTGATACGCAGGAACCTACAGCTTTGTATGCCCAGAAAAACAGGGCAGGGGAGGGGTGTTCCGGAAATAGGTGTTGAAAGAATGATCAAGCAAGTAAATGAACAATGCCCTGCCTTTCAGGACTTCAGATACGAGATGATGAGAATGAGCCTCTTAGCAAGGTTAGCAGCTTCTCCGGGCACATATGACAAGTTAGTCCTGGAACCAAGAGGTAGCTGAGGCTGCTGGCCCTACCGCAGTACTGCCTGCCAAACTGGGAGGCCGCCTACTTTCCTCCTGGGTCCAATGGTGGCAGAAAGGCAACTCTGGAATTACACGTCTTTGGGAAAAGGTATTACTTATGTTTAAAATGAAAATAGAAGTTTTCATCTAAATGCATAGCAGTGATGCAGAATTGTAGCTCCCCCACCCTCTGATTATTTTTATTGTTATCACTCACAGATATTTATGAGGGAGAAGTGCCTCAGAGTCTGATTTCAAAGATGAGAAAGACCAGAGGAAGAGTAATAAATAATGTGAATCAGAACACATGTACACAACACACTCACACACGTATGCATACAGGTGCACTCATTAATGCACACACTTATACACACATGGGCACAATGCAATATACGTATGCTTGCACACAAGCACATGTCACACACACATATGTGCAAATGTATGGGAACACATGGACACACATACATACACACATGCTCAAAGCAGCAAGAGGGTAACTTAAAGAATGAGCAGTCCCTGAACTTCTGAGTTCCCATGACACTGCCTTTCACCAAGTTATTGCTGAGGCTCTGGGTTTGTCTAAAGCACTGTGTAGGCATGTAAGGTGAGGGAGGGAGTCTAGGAATCCATTCACATAAAAGTTTTAAAAAAGTGGGGTGGGAGGGAGAATCAGATTGTAGGCCTATGGCTGTATAAAACACAGTTTGAGGGTTGATTTTCTTTTGTCTGCCTGCCTCCCTTCAAATCAGATCTGTCACTGCTGTTGGCAGGCTGCAGCTATGGCCAATTGTCAATGAGACCTGCTAAGACTGGCCTCCCCCAACCTCCCTCAGCTGAGCTGGCCTCAAAGGAAAGGCCATGCATCATGTGGAGGAGGCCATGCACAGGCCTTTGGGAGATGTTTTGTTTGTGCATTTCTTTTGTTTATTTGATTTTTCTGGGTTCTGTCACTAGCTAATTACACAACTCTATTGAACTGGATCCCAGTTTTCCCATCTATAAAGTAAGGTGAACTAGATACATTGTGAGATTTAAAAAAAATTTTTCTTTTTAGTTGTAGATGGACACAATACCTTTATTTTTATTTATTTATCTTTATGTGATGCTGAGGATCCAATCCAGTGCCTCACACATGCTAGGCAAGTGCTCTACCATTTAGCTATAATCCCAGCCCCATAGTGAGATCTTTTGTAAAGTCAAGAGTTGCTTCTTTTTTTCAAAGGAAAACCAGACAGAAAGGGAGGAGGAAGAGAACACCCTGCTTTTCACTGGAACTCAGTGGTATGGCTTGGCAAAGGGATCTACCCAGATATGCAAATCAGATGCACAATGGGTAATGGAGACAAGGGTTGAAAATGCTTTATCCATTGCTCAGTAAAGAGAAGGGGATGTAGGGGTGAGACAAAGTCCTCTTCTGCCCCCAATTCCCCAACTCACCTGCCCAGCTGAGGCCGAGGTGTTCCGATATAATAGCCATCTTCATATCTGCTTGGTCTGTCCCACTGAGAAAACCTAAAGAGATGCATTAGATTTTATTTAGCAGCCTGAGAAGGACACAGAACTGACAGGCATGTTTATACGGTCTCTGATGGATGCCCAGGTCCCACTGTGAACCTCCGTATACACCCGTGCTGAATCTATAAGAGGTCAGGTGGAGACCCAAGTCAAAGGCTCTGCGTGCTGTTGGCAGAACAGGCTGAGGAAGCAGCATGGAGGGTAGAGGCATCACAAGCTCACTTATAACCTTTCAAAGGGAGCAAGCAACCAGACACAATGGTGTGTGCCTGTAATCCTGGCTACTTGGGAGGCCAAGGCAGGAGGATCTTGATGAGACCTTGTCTCAAAATTTAAAAAAGTAAAAAAATTTGGGGCTGGGATGTTACTCAGTGGTAGAGTACCACTCAATTGCCAGTACTAAAAAAAAATAGTTAGGGGGAGCAAAAATACATCATCACAAAGAGGTTGATACCTGGTGTTGATTCACTGAGAATGCTGTATCTCAGGGACAGGGGTGTCAAGGTCCTTCGCCTATCTTCTGCTCCGCTCCCCTGCAGAAGAAAGTCAAAGAAAGGATGCTTTGGATTTTGGGTATACCCCCTTCTCAGAGGAGGTTACTTGAGCCTTGAGGCTGTGGTCCTGGCAGGAGTAAGTAGCTCCATTCCGTTAGAGGCTCAACAGAGTAGACGGAAGAGGTGGGAGTAAAAGAAGTTGATGAAACTTGAATACTTTATTAGGAATAATGGCAAACTTATGTAGCCCTTGTCATGCACAAGGCTGTATTTAATGCTCACACCAACCACAAACACCTATGAGATAGGTATTATTACTAACCCCATTTCATCGATGAGAAAACTGAGGCATAGAGAGGTTAAGCAGTTTTCCCAAGGCACCCAGTGTATGGGCCATGGAACCGAAGTTTGACCTTAAAACTCAGTTTTTCTTTTTGGATTCCTTTAGGTTCAACAGATCAGCTTCTGACACTGGCTTCAGGCTTAACAATAAGAACTTGTTTGCTCAAAGATGTAGGAATTCTCTCTGGAGAGAGGTATTGGTTAACCCTCATCCCCAGAAAGAAAAGAGAAACAGATTCATGGACATATGAATGGGTCCTTGCTTCTTTCTAGTTTAGCATGGAAGGCTAATGATTAAAACAACAACAACAACAGCCAAACAACACCAACAAGGAACAAGACATTCTGAGGACATGATCACTCCGAAGTCCCTAGCATAGGTGGTGACCGTGGTGCTCTGACAGATATGGATAAATGAACATACTTGCTGAAGACTACTTTGTTGAGCTCAAAACCCTGGGTGTTTGCAGTGGCTGAGGACACCAGGATCCCCTTCTTTGAGGGCCTAGCACCCTGGGGAAGATAAGTGAGTAAATGAAAAAAAGGCTGGAGAACAGCTGTCCAGTGGCTGGGTAACCTTGAACATCTAATTCAAAATGCATTTCAAAACCTCAGAAGCCTCAGAAAGGGAAGTTGAGGAGGACACTTGACCTTCATATCCCAGAGGGCTCAGGGCTCACAGAGTGAATAAACCTATCACCATCTGACACATTTGTTCCTCATGTCACATGACCAGAGCTGGACTGAGCTTTGCAGAGAGAGCCAGGGCATGCTTCCCCTGCCAGGTCATAGAACAAATGTCCAGAGGAGAGTAAAGAGCCCATGTGTACCTCAGGGAATTCAAAGGCTGCGTTTCAATAGGAAGAAGCCCTAAGGAGGTGTTTGTCCTGGGGTCTGTTCGGGAACTTCCTTAGGGTAACCCATCTTTGGCTAAAGATCCTCCCCAGGTAGTGGCTCACCTTGGTGCAGGGGGGCATGGTGATGTTCAAGTGGCAGAGGATGTGCTGGGTGTCCTCATATTTCATCGCCTTGCGCAGAAATGACAAGAACCCTCCTGGTTCTCGACTGCTGTCCCTCACCTAAGTTCAAACATAAAAGAAGATTCAGCAGGCCCTTTGGTGGCCACCAGGTGGCTAGTTTAGAGATTTTTCACCTCCCAGCTTTCTAGATCCAGAGGAGAGGCCAGCAAGAGGAGGCCAGCACCTTTACAGGTATGGCCAAACGGTTCTCCCGAAATGACTGGAAGTGGAAGCTCCGCTGTTGGGCAGCTTTCTTTACAGGTACCAGGTTCCCAGAAAGTTCTGCGAAAAGGGGCATTCCTTCCAAAACCTGTAGGAAAGAAAAATCAAATACAGCTTGTCAGGTAGAAATGCTCAGATGTCCTGCCTTGACGCTCTGGTCTTTCCCACCCCACCCAAGTCAGGTGGATACACAGGGGGACAGCAGGCCACACAGGAGTGTGTTCTGAGAAACACCACTGTTTGTTTTGGAAAAGGCTTTATTTATAAGGTTATGATGAATGAGTCATGCTTCCTTGCCCCAAAAGATTTTACACTCTGTAGGAATTTTCTTATGCCCCTAGGCAGTTGATCTAGAACATTCCAGAACTAGGACATCACAATACAGTTTCTGAAAAAATCCTGGGTCTGTTTTTCTACCTGTCCAAAGGTGTTGAGCTCATGAGAAGGGCCAGTAAAACCTTGCTATATTTTAATTTCACCTATGATAATAATCCTTTCTGTGTACATAATACTCTCATCTGCCATTCTCATTTGAACCCATTTGAGAGTTGCCCTGGCTCCAGAGCTTTATCTTCTTATGAGAAGTGTTTTAGAGGCCTTCAAGGACCCAGGCATACCTCTATGTCCCTGCTCCGGGCCACCTCCACAAAGTTCTCATGCTGCTCCAAGGTCTTGTCCACTTTGTCGTCTGTCATGCAGTAGCAACGCAGCCGCCCTTCCCGGGGGTCATTCATTTTGGCAAAGATAACAAACTTGGCCATGTAGGGCACTGCGGTAAGCTCTTTGTATAACAGAGTGGCAAAGTTCACGGCCTCAGCAGTCCGAGGACAGTCCGACAGCCAAAACCTTAAAAGAGAGGGCAAGTCATGACTACCTTCCTCAATTCCGGAGGAAAACAAAGCTCCATCTCCATCTGGTCAGGCACAACCTGCAAGCCACACAGTGGTGACTCTGCCACGTCTGGCGGTTGAGGGCGCTTCTGTGTGGAGGGGTAATGAAAGAGCCTCAAGATCAAGCCTGAGACGCTGGGCTGGGCCTCGTCTCACCTGGCAGAGACATTGGTGGTAAAGTTGGCACACTCGTTGGCATACACGAGCTTGGTTGTTCCCGTTATGTCTTCCCACTGGGCTTGTTCAGTTCCGCCTGCAACACCAGCAGAAGTGGGGCTGGGGACACTCTTTTGGATGTGAACATGGTGCTAAGGTCCTAGTGTGCGAGGGCAGAGGTGGACTTCTGGGTGACACTTGCTTGGTCTGCAGCACTGAGCACACCTATTTTCTCATACTCTGCCCCTTTTCCTTGTGACCTGCAGTACCCGCTTCTCCTAGGGCTCAGAGGGCTCTTCCACCGGGCAATGGACTTTAATTCAGATTCCTCATCCCCCTACGTCTTGGAAGAGCACACCATCCCCAGGGGAAATCAACAAAACCCACTGCCGCGTTTGCTGGCTTGGCATTCTCCCATCTCCCTCTGCCCTCCTATGTGTTACAGAAGGAGCTAGTGCTGCTAGACAGGGACAAAGGGGAACCTCTCACCAATGACGCTGCAAAGCAGGCGCAGGCTGGTGGTGTCTCCCTCCCCACTGTCCCTTGGGTTGTCAGTCCAAGAAGGAGGGAGTGGGATCCGAAGCCCAATGGGACGATGGAACTTGCGGCGTCTTGGCTCCACCGTGACAATGGGGCTGAACGTGGCCTGGTTGCCCAGGAGCTTGGTGACTAGCTCATCTGGGACAGGCTGGGCCTGTGAAGTGCCAAAGGCAAGATACTCAGCCCCAGGCAGGAGAGGGGCAGGCATGACGGGAGACGGCATGGTGCCCTCTATGCACAGGGCAGAGACTCCTGGTGAGAGAGGTTGCCCCCCGCTGCTGGACCACCATCTTCATTTTTCTGAGCACAGGGCCTGTCCCAGCTCTGATGTCACTGATTAGCTCTCCTTTCTGAACCCTTTTTCCTTCTGCCTCTCCTTCCCAGGGATGGCACATCTTTGCAGGAACTTTCTCCTGCTGAGCATAGGCGGCCTTGCAGTTTAATGTGTGATGTGGGACTTTCTGCAACTTGTCAGGCTGCGTCTGCCTCATCCCTCCCACCCAACTTTCTAAGCTTTTAAGTCAAAAACCTAATTCTAATGGTATTGGTGGAAAGCGTGGGATGCCCCGTTTTCCCAGGGCCTTGCACTCTTTCCACCCTCCAGGACCTGGCCAGGAGGGCCTGTGTTACCTGCAGAGCCAGCTTCACTTTCTTGGTGACAGCATTTGCTGGGAACGTTGCCTGCACTAGGGGCACCAGCTTGCTCTTCAGAGAGCCCCCTTCAGGGCCAATGGTGTCATAGTCCTGGCAGAGCCGAGTCATGATCACAAAGTACAAGGGGAAGTCCGTGGTGATGATGCGGCAGACCCTCTTCTTCTCCAGCTCCTCTAGGCTCCCCAACTCTGGAATGACACAGCCCGGGGCAACCATCTTGTCACACTAAGCTCAAGATCAGCCACTAACCCCGTGGCCTGAGCTTCCTTATCTCCAGGACACAGGGCGCACACCCTCCCTGTGACAGGCAGAGAGGTGTCCTGGAGGGAGAAGTGCCCAGGCCCAGAGGCCCAGCAGAAGAGGTGTGGCTGCAAGCAGGGCACCCACTCACATGACCTGGGGACCCAGAGCTTGACTACATGGGGCCAATTCCTAGCCTCGTGTTGCTGCCCAAATTCCAGGCAGCCCTGATAGCCCACCCCAAACGTGCAGCCTCAAATTCTATCTCCCAAAAGTGAGAGATCTGGTATCCCTGGGGCTCTGTTACCTTCATCCATCCCATTGAGGATCTGTTGCAGGTAGCTTTCTCCAAAGCGGCTCTTGTGTTCCTTCCACAGAGCGCCATTTTCACTCCTCAGAACCACAAGCTCGCGGTCCCCACGACCATGGGAGGCAAAGTGGGGGATCTCCACAATCACAGGGCTGAGACAGGGACAGAGCAGAGGGTAGGCAAGTTGTTTCCCTGCATGTGCAGGTGGCCCGGGGGGGGGGGGGGGGGGGGGGGGGGGGGGAAGGGGCAGTTCACTCCTGCCCAGGAGAAAGGGGTTCCACAGCCACAGTGGAGGTCCCCTCTTGGAAGTTCTCTGGAGTGGACTAGACCTGCCTCAGGCTCCTGAGGCTCCCCATGAGTCTGGAGTGACAGGTAGGGCAGGCACAGATGCAGAGACAGCAACTCTCCTGGCCTGTGTGCTTGGCTGAGGCTCAGCCAAATGATCTCATCCTCAGACCTGATTAAGAAAACCCATGTGAACGCCAGGCATTATGGCACACACCAGTAATCCCAGCAGCTAAGGAGATTGTGAGTTCAAAGCCAGTCTCAGTGAGTCCCTAAGCAACTCAGAGAGACCTTGTCTCTAAATAAAATATAAAAAGGGCTGGGGATGTGGCTCAGTGGTCTAGTGCCCCTGAGTTTGATCCCTGGTACCAACAAAATAAAACAAAACAAAACCAACCAAACAAAATCCCCAAAACAAACAAACAAAAAACATGGGACATCCCTAGATAGGTCTCTGAGCCCTTGCATTCTCATCTATTAAATGGCCATAATGATATTTCCTTTAGAGGTAGGATTTTAGGCTTATATTTAAAGAGAAAATCAATAAGAAAGCTTTGCAAATGACGATTGACAGGAGGGTGGATGGAGATGGGAAGGCCACACCTGTCCCAACATTACAACCCTGGATATTGTTGCATGAAGGACAAGAAAGCTCCAAGCAGACCCTAGTCTGCTTCAGAGAAGGTGAGGAATAGGCACCTGAAGTCCATTCATCCTATGGTCCTGAGGGACGAGGCTGCAGGGGCTGCCTTCTAGTGCCACCATTTCAGTGCATACATAATTAAATCCTGGAGGTCCCCCAAGTAGCCCCATCTCCATTCCCTTCTCTAGTGTCCCAGTAGGATTTGAGAGTAGGAAGCTCCACCAGGGCTATGGACTCCTTAGAGTACCTGAGAAAAATCAAAGCAAGGGGGCGAGGCTTCCGCTTCTGCTTCTCTGTCATGAGTTCCGGCAGCTCTGCCCTGTGGCAGGGTTGTTCTAGGTGGTTGCTGCTGAGGTGGTGGCAGTGGGGTGAGCAGGACGGGAATGGATTAGGGACACGTGTTGCCCACATGTCCTGCAAAGCAGCGTCTCACCTCAGGAACTGGGCCCCTGTGGGCCCCAGCGCGATGATCCTGCTGGCCAGGCCCTCCTCCTCACCCAGCGGGGGTGGCGTGCTCAACTTCTGGGGCTTGACCAGGCGACAGGTAATACGTGTGGGTGCGGCACAGGTCCGCGGAGGGATCACCACCCTCAGGCCGTTGTGGCGACTTCCTCTCATGGAGCCTCCCCGGGCATCGACCATGAAGCTCACCAGAAACCTGGAGGCACAGGCAGATCCATGTTGGGCACCTTTGCCCCCACCCCCACCCCACGGCCAGAGTGGGTCCCAGAGTCCTGTGTCACTCACCCTGTGTGGACGGGGCTGGCCACAGGGCTGATGTTGTCTGAGGTCTCTGTGGCGGGGCTGCTGGGGATGAGTGAGTCTTCATCATATTCTTTAAATGCCTAAAGAGGAGAAAAGGGCCCCCTGTCTCCCCTGAGCCACCTGAACACTGCTCCAGGCCACAACAGCTTTGGAGTGGTGCCATGGAGAACCTGCTTTCACAGGCTCACCTACTCACTCTTTGGGGACAAGGCATTCCTGGGGTCTAAAGGGAAGCATTGGCTTCCTCCCCTCTTGTTGGCCTTAGCTTGGCTCCAGACCCCGGAGCAGAGTGCGGGAACAGATGGAATGAGTCCTCGCTCTTCAGTCTGGTTCTAGGTCCCCTGCCAGCTGCATACATTGCCCACCTGCCCACAGTTCCCTCCCACAGTGCCCCCGTGGAGAAGCTCTGTCCAGGCAGACTGGCTTTTCCTCTAGAGTTGGCCCTGGACCCTGCACCATCCCCTCCTACCTACTTGGCTAGTAGGCATCTGAGGTATGGGAAGTGAACACACCAAGTCTTTGGGGCTTCCTATTGTTTTCCTCTGTAGAAGGGGGACATTCCTTACAACCAAAGGGGCCATTTGGCTGCTTTGTAACAGGTCCTTGAATACCACAATGACTCTGGAGAACAGCAGGGTCTGCATCTGGCCTCAGTGGCCTCTAGATGGATTCTCAACTCTGCTTTTATTCATCCTCCCCCTGGTCCAGAACATCCTCACCCCCGACCTTCCCTGCTCCAATCACCTATTTTTCTGCCTTTTCTCCTCTATAGAGCTGTCCTGTTGACCCCAGCCTGCCTTCTCTGCACTCTGGAAGGGCTCACTCACAGCACGCCATTAAGCACTTCACTGTTTACCCTTCCTGCACTCTGTGCTACCTGCTCCCACGTGTATAAGTCCTCTCTTCCCAGCTGGACAGCGACTCCTAGGAGGCAGATGCTCATGGTCCTCCTCTACAGGATATATAGAGCCCTGGACAGGGCACTTAGTGGGAATCCAGGAAACTGCCCCTGATGAGTTATGACTCAAGCAGAGTTGAAGAGAAATGCTGGGGGTGTGGCTCAGTGGTAGGCCCTGGGTTTGAACCTTAGTACTCCCTCCCCCCAGAGATTTTAAGGGAATGAAGTGGTCAGGAAACAACAGAACCCAGGTCTACTCAGTTGGTTCTCACTGCTGTCTTTAGCAGCATCCAGGGAATATGCCACTGCAGTTCTGGGGGCCATATTTGACCATTTCTCTCAAATGCCACCCAGCTATACTCATGTTGCATCACTGTGACATATAACCTGCTGCTCAACAGCCACGTGGCTGGCTTATCCCTATGCGCCACTTTTGGTCCAGGGCTATGGCTGCTGCTGTGAGACAGACACCACTTAGGGAACAGAGAAAGAAATCAACTTTAGCTAGATTCTAACAGCCATGACTGACTTAGCTATCAGGCCTTGGGACAGTGACATCCAACCTTAAACAGTGCACTATTTTCATTTCTCCCCAGGAAGTCCCCCTGTCCTTAAAAAAAAAAAGTGCCAATGGCATAAAATTAAACTGCCTCCCATCCCTGCTTTTTTGGATAAATTCAGGTGGCAATCTCAGAAGTCATAAAACAGGATACCATAATGAACAAGACCCTACACCCAAAGCAGCTCTCTGGCATGTCTTTTCTGTCTGTATTGGTGTCTCTGGCTCCCAGAATTCTTTGGAGGAAGAGGAGATGGAAGCTGTCCTCTCTTACGAATGTGAGAGGAGCACAGAGTTCTGCGACTCTCCCAGAGCTTTGTGAGATGTGCAGGCTGCACTCCACCTGCCACAGGTTCCCTTCTATGCCTGCTGCCCCAAGATGCAGAGAATATGTGCACAGAGGTTTGGCCATGAACATGGTCTTGGGAGCCAGAACTGCTGGTGTCAGTTCTCACCCTCACTCATCATTAGACTATTCTGATGGTGTTTCCTACACCCTAGAGCTCCCTGAGCCCCACGGTGTTCACATCTGGGATAATGAGAATGCCAAGAACATGGGCTACACAGAGCACACAAAATCACAGATCTTTGGAAGCACAACAAGTTTTTCCATGCTAGCTCTTTTTGCCCTCCAGGTCATCTCAAAATAAGCATTGTCCTGGGGTCATATCCTCACTCTGCAAATGGGAATACAAGAGAAATGGTGCTTCTTACCTGTTCTGGCTCTTCAGATCTGATCACCACTGTCTCAGGTGTGACACAAGGAATCCTCGGGATGGCTGGAGATTCCACCCTGTGTACCAGGAACATTGGGAAATCAAAGGGCGGAACTTTTGAAGTCACCCCCTATCTCTCCCAAGAGACTTAAGTGAAAGACCTCAGTACCTTTGTAATGACTTAGCAACCCATCCCCTCACCTCAGCCTCAGTACCCCCTTGCATGTGCAATAAGATGATTCCACAGGTTGAATAGACTTGAAGCTGTCTCCTCCCTTGTGACTCTGCAGAGCCTAGCTGCCCTTCATATCTCTCAGAAGGACCCTCCAGCCCCGACTCATCTGCTCTTTCTGCAGCTCTCTCTTGCCTGCTAACAGAACCCTTACTCTGACCTCATTCATTCATCAATCTAAATTGCACTTGGTGTGGGTTTTGATCCCACCAAATGAATCTACATAAGGGTCCAAGTTCTGTATTTTTTTTCTAACAGATATTTAGTAAACACCAACAGATTAAACTTCTTAACACTTTCCCTTCCTACTGTCCTGCTGTCTGGTTTTGTATAAGCCATGGGAAACATCCCAGTGTTTCTAAAAACTGGTTGATTGTAGATTTATTTGCAAAACATCTCTGTGGAAAAATGGATCTGTGGTGGCCTAAGTCACAGCAGACAGGGAGGGCTGAGAAATGGGTTCCGGGTAGATACAGAACCTCCGTGGGCTTTCTCTAAGGTACCTCACCAACGGAGGGATGTGGTCAGTATTTGATATTAGCTTGGCAAATTTCTAACGTGAACCTTTCTCCAAGATTATTCTGAGGAGAAGCTGAGTGTGCATGAAAAGGAGAAGGGGTGTGATCATGAAGCTGTGAGTATGGGGGGGGGGGGGGGGGAAGAAAGGTGCATGGCGGGGATGCTGGAAGTGAAGAGACCCAACTGACAGCGCACTGTGAGGGAGGCCTCTGAGTACGCGCTTGGTGGTCAAGGTGCTGGTGCCGCAGCCTGGCCCGCCAGCCGTCCATCTATACTGGCAGCACACCCAGGGCCTGTCCTTGTGACTTCTCCTCGATTTGCAATCCTACTCTGAGCTGCAGGGCTGTACCTTGACCATGCATGGTGTGACCCTTCCAGTGAGCCCTTTCTTACACTTGGTCGAACTTTGGCACAAAATCCAACAGCTCTTTCTCTTCATCCAAGTCCCTGGAATCCGGCTTCTCAGCCTTGGAGCCAACAAGTTCTTCCCCTGAAAGAACACAAGCTCAAGTGAGTGACAGGGTGGAGACCTCCTGAAAAAGTGCTTCTCCTTGTCCACCTCTTAATGCTTGCTCCTGAGAAGCACAGAGAAGTCTCTGATGCTTCAAAGGGACCATTGGCTCTGATTTTGCTCAGTCTTATTCCTTCCAGCCCTGATGTATAGTGTGCAGTGGTCAGTTCCTAACTCAGTCTATGCCAGACTTTGTAGGAAAGACAACACAGCCAGAAAGAACTTCATTTCCCACTGCAGATCAGACCATTTATTTTGAAGGGCTGTAGGTTGTTTGTGTGTGTGTGTGTGTGTGTGTGTGTGTGTGCCAGAAAGAACTTCCTTAGCTTGTCATTTCCCACTGCAGACCAGACCATTTATTTTGAAGGGCTATAGGTTGGTGTTGGTGTGTGTGTGTGTGTGTGTGTGTGTGTGTGTGTGTGTGTTTATAACATGGTCCCTAAAATTTCATTATTTCTAAAGCTTCATTACAAATAAGTTCAAGCTACTGGTGAATTAGCTGTCCACACCCCACACTGCCTTTTTGTTTTCTTCTCTTGCTTTAAGTAGACTTGGAGCCAGGGTCCTTGTCCTTGCATGTCATTGACTATCATTAGCAGTGAGTGCCCTGGCCTTGTGATCTGAAACTGACAGGATGGAATCACAACCGCTCATGCAGTGATGACCACAAACATGGTGGCATGGGCACAGACACAGAGATGGACAGGCAGGAGTTGCCCCCTTGAGGATGGAACTCCTGGGCGTAAATGTCCTGTTTTAGTCAAGCTCTGGGCTCGGACTGTGAGCCATCAGAGGATGGAAAGCAGGAATGGATTAGTGGGAACTTGGGTTGCTGAGGGTGAAATGCACTCTGGTGAGAAAAGACCACAGGGAACAGAAAGTGTTTCATACCCATTATAGATATGTGAGCGGTTCCTGAAAAGCAAAGAAGAGCCAAGGTGAAGGAAGGACAGCACTGAAGTCAGGTAAAGCAAGAGGCATGCTATTAAGGGGCACACAGGGAAAGATTCAGCTGTCTAATTGACTAGGTTTGTACAACCACTGAATTATAGATGGGAGGGTCTACAGAGTGAACCCAGTCCAACCCCACTATTCTGCTTCATGAGGGTTCTCTCACACTCAAGCAAGGATACAAGACTTATTTGGGGAAGGAATAATAGTAAAAGCACTGGGTAGTTCATAAAGTTGAAATGTAGTAACTTCCACAGTAATGAACAGAACCTGAACCCCTCCTGACCCACTATGTGATGAGAAGAGCAGCTTATTAAAATGCATGCTCATGGATTTTAAACAACTCACTTGTTATTTGTTCAAAGCACCAGGAAAGCTCCTCACAGCCCTAGAGTTGAGCTGAGTAGAATCACACTCGATTTGATACACATTCATCATATACGCAAACACACACATACTTGTGAAGCTTCACAAAATTTTAAATGTTAATCTCTGAGATGTCAATTTTCCTCCACCTAAGACTATAGGAAAGCAGTTGTTTTCATAATAGACAACATTTGTAAAAAGTGGGCCTCCTCAGTGTCAATGCACATCTGCAGAACCCTGGGTGGCTGCAGGGGACCCTTGCCTCCTGGCCGGGGCAGGAAGCCACTCAGGGTGCTCAGCGCCCCTCTGCTCCCATTGGTCAGAGCTCACCAACCCCTCCCTGACTTTACCTTCATCTTCAGAGACATCCAGGATCTCATCCACTGTCTCAGGGTAACTCATGCGGTGCTTGTCACTGACTAACTGAAAGGAGAAGGCGGCGAGAATTCAACCCAAACAGAGCACCACCACCCTTTCACCAGCCCAGCAGTGATCTGGTCACCATGAGGGGACAGAAGAGGAGGTGATAAAGGAAGTTTGTCCCCCCAAAAGAAAACCAGACCTAGGAAGCTGAGGCCTGGTGGCATCCCAGAGAGGATAACAGGGGACCTTGCCGCCTCATCCCTTCCCAAGCCCGGTTCACCTCACAGTGACTCCCTTAGGTCTGGCCACAGCTCTAATTCCTCAGGCCACTAGGTGGCAGTATAACCCTGCTCAACTGAGGATGGAGCCTACTTGGCGGCTACCCTTTTGGCAGGATGCTTCCTACCCAAGGCTTTGGAGAGTCACCCACAGGGCGCCCTGCCTGTCAGGCTGTGGTGGGGGGTGGGGTGGAGTGGGGACGGGCAGTGCCGGGAGGAGCACACATACCGCCACACTGGTTTCGTCGGTGACAACTTTGAGCACATCTGTTACGGAAATGTAGCCCAAACGCTTGGCTATTGCCAGAGGTGTGGTTCCATTCTAGAAAAAAATGGCAGCAAGAGGGTGAGATCAGACAAGGGAGCAAGAGAGGAAGGACACTCTGCCACCTGTACAGAGTCTAAGTTCACCTCTGACTATTCAGAAGGGCTTGAGTGGACAGATTTTGCCTTGGAGCCCAAAGCAAGATGGCTGCATCAGTGGGAGAGCAGAGATGCCCACTCAGACTAGGGCAGGGAGAGAGGAGAGCGCTGACACCTCATGTTGTAGCATTGTGTGGGGGCTTGAAATGACAGCAAGGCAAGACTGCCAAGAGGGAACCCTCTGGCAGGAAGGGTGTCAGAAGTCACCATGTGTGATTCTGAAACAGGAGGGTACAGAGTAACATTCACTGCTCCAAAGTCTGTTCTCTGGGTGTCAATAACAGCATCGCAACAATTAAAACAATCCCTGTACTTCAGTGAACTAGGCAGGCCAATCAGAAATTACAGGTCACCAGAAATAGGATAGGGACCATATTTTCTACTTTGACTTTAAGAGAAAGAGCTAAGTGAAAATCAATGAAGACTATTTTTCTTCTATGTTTTCTAGTTTCAGGACATGGCCCAGGATCCATCCAGATTTGGCCCCATCTCTAGTTACAATTTCAGGACCCACATCTGTAGTCAAAGGTCCACATGCTTTCAGAATTGGGAGAAGCCATGGAGGGAATCTAATGAAACCTCACATTGTCAGATGATAAGTTCATACTGAGCCCTGATCACTAAAGTTGCTAAGGATAACCCAAGACCCCGAAAGATCAGACACTCCACAAGACCTTTAATTTGATTCACTTGTACCACACCGAATGTAGCCTCACATACTTCAGAAGAGGCATCCACAAAAATGTTTAATCAAATATAAAAGGGGGAAGTAACTGCTATTTACAAGGATGAAGTTCAGTCACCAGAAGAGAAACTGATCTCAATACCCTATCCCCCGGAATACCCAAAGTGCTGCAGCTCTGTCTGGGTCCCAGATGTGTACACCAACCTCTATGGCTCTGGGATGTCTCCCAGGGCTGCTGCCCAGGGAAGAACAGTTTTCTGAAATCAGGCCGGGGCGGGTACTCACCGAGCTGACCTCGTTTGGGGAAGCGCCATTTTTCAGTAGCAAAGTCACAATGTCAGTATGTCCTTGTTGGGCCGCCTGGTGCAAGGGGCTGTATCCTAGCTATAAAGTGAGGTAGACATTTTGGCAGGATCAGCTAGCAGGTAGAGAAAGAACCACCCACATATCATGGAATCCATTCACCTTCTACTTGTGACAAAAAAAGAAAAAGGATTTTTCCCCATTTCCTCCTTCAGGATCCAAATCCAAAACTGGCAGAACCCCAAGTGTGCTCAGAGTAGGTCTGGCTCCATTCTAATTGGGCACTTAAGAAGTGCCCTTTTAGGAGTGGGGTCTAAGGCACCCTGTACCTTGGTCTTGGCATTGACATCTGCCTGGTGTTGTAGCAGAAACTTCACCAGCTTGATATTTCCATAATGACTGGCCACGTGCAGTGGAGTGTAACCCATCTGAAATGCAAGAAGTTGAGCATAGGTGACCTTCAGGGCTTCTGGGCAGACCTTAAGCCACCATGAACTGTGCATTTAATCAAATTCTTTTAAAAAGCAGGTAATTTAAAGAGAGAATGGATGGGGAACCCTTTGGAAGGTTAACAGCTGCTACGTGGTGTCCTGCTATTGCCAGCCAGATACCACTGGCCTGGGAAGGAGCAGGGTTCATTGTCAGACAAGTGAAGTCTGAGATGTTTGGAGGTGAGCCAGGCAGAGAAGTCAAGTAGGTGACAGGAGGGTGGACACTGAACCCTGCCATGAAGGCTGGGCTAGGAGTCATCCTCAGCCTATGGGAGAGCTGATAGCTTTGGAGATAAATGAGTGTATCGAAGATGAAGTGGAGGGAGAACAGAGAGGGGCCTAAGGACTGCACCAACATTCAGAGGGAAAGTCGGAAGGGAGGCTGGAGGGACAATGGAGAGAGCTGTGCTCCAGAGACTAAGAGGAGTCATTTTAAGAAGACAGGAACAGCAATGGGGCCCTCTGCTGAGAAGAGTGTGAAGAGCAGGACAAATGGACACATGGAGTCCTGGCTGACCCCAGTGATTGCAGACTTATTTCATTAGAAAGGTGAACTCCCATTGTAAGATCCCCAAAGGCTGCTTGGGGTCACTGAGTTTAGTGTAATGGAATTTATAGGAAATGCTCATTTCTTGAAATAGTGGGAGTTTGGTCTAAGAAGGAGCTTATTTTCAAGGAATCTGTCCTGATGAATATTTTTTTGTTTGTTTTTAGTGCTGGGAATTGATACCTAGGTTCTCATGCCTGCCAAGCACATGCTCTACCATAGAGCTCCAGCCCCAGCCCCCATCGAATATTTTGGTGCCGCCTCTGAGCCAAGGCCCTCTGAACTCTTTGTTCCCAAACGTACCCAGGGAGCCAGAGCCGGACTGCAGAGATCATCTTAATACAGATGCTGTGGGCAAGACCCTCATGTAGCGGGCTGGCTTAGGATCCCTGAGGCAGTTCTAACCCAAAGAATAGGGGGTCTCAGGGAAGGAACCTAAAAGACTAAACTAGGCACACAAGAGAAGCCCCAAAGATCCAGAACATTCTTGGCTTTTTAAAAACAGATTCTTGTTGATGCAGGCAGGTGAGGACAAAGAGGCGGTTCCAGTTTTTTCTCAGGATGACCTCATGTTGCCTAGTGCTCCAGGAGATCTCTGGAAGGGGTGGGGCTGGTGGTGGCGTCACTCTGTCCCTTCCTTTTAATACAACTACCTTGTGATGAAAGGAGCAAAATGCACTTCTTCCAGGAAGCCTCCTCCTTCCCACCAGCTGGAAGCACCCTGGCCCTCTCGGGGCTCCCGGATGTTCTCTCCCACCAATATCATATTTCCAGTTCCTTCCTGTCTCTTGCAATCATCTCCACACTAAACCACAAATGCCTGTAGCCCAGCTTCCAAACTGCATGTGCCTCGCTCACACCATCTCACTGAGCTCCTTACACACAAAAGAGGTTCAAAGCGAGTTGAGCTGAATTCAACTAACAGCTGGAATAGAAGGGGCTGCATTTTTGAGTGACTCCAAGGAAGCCCCCCCCCCCTTTGACCTTCCTCTGCAACTCATACAAGGCAGATCACAATTCAACATTCCTCCAAATTTCTGCTGCAGAAGCTCAAAGCTCCAACAAACTTTTTAAAATTCCCAAGGGGAATGTGAGATCATTAGGATGGTGTCCTTGAATTCTACTGCCTTGAATTCTACTTCCCTGCCAGAAAGTGGCAGGGAAGAAAGTTCCACCAGATCCTTAGGATTCTGTCCCCCAGGGGAAGAGATGATTCTGAGGCATGAGGGAGGCACCCTGGGCCTGGGTCAGAGAACACAGGCTCAGCAGGGGGAGCCATGAGGACAGAAGCTAGCTCAGGGCTGCCTGCCTTACCCGGGTAGTGGCATCCACTGTGACACCGTGTTTGATGAGCACATCTGCCACTGGAACGTGGCCTTCTTGTGCTACCAGATGGAGAGGAGTGAGTCCACTCTGGAAAAAGAAAGATGTTCATCAGCTTTGAGGCAGGAAACAATTCCAGGCTACTGTGACAGAGCACTGAGGTCTGGAAGCCTGGTTTGCAGCCACAGCCTGCTATCTGACCACCTGTTTAGCAAAACTCTTCCTGTTCTGAGCCTCAATATCCCTACCTAAAAAAATGAGATAGTTAAATGAAATCGGGAAGTGTCAATTTTTTCTGTTCAGGGTAAGACTGTCAATATTTTAAATCTGTGTCTTTGTTGCAAGTACCCAACTTTGTCCCTTAAGGTAACAAAGCGGCTCTAGAAGTGAATGGTCATGGCTGTGTTCCAATAAAGCTTTATTTACAACAAGTGGTGGGCTGGATTTGGCTCACAGGTCATAAATGAACTTTAGAGTACCTTCCAATGACAACACTTTCTATTTCCATGGTAAATTTTCAGAGCCTTGGTTTCCTAATTTAGAAAATAGGGATTCTATCACTGACCTATCTAGAGGGAACGTAAGGAGCATTTGAGAAAGCACAGTTCATGTAAAATCACTTTGAAAAGCACAATGTACTCTTTAAATATAGCGTACTATTATGGGATCACAGCCAGTGCAGCACTGTAAAGAGCAGGGAGGATCTGTAAAGAGCTGGGAGTGAAAAGACCACGTTCATGGACTTTTCATCACAGCTTTTTCCGGAGGGTAGTAATGAATCAGAGCTCTTGTTGTACAAAAATGTCAGAAGTCTTCTCCTCCTTGCACCTTACCTCAATACACTCTGCTAACAGTGGGACCAACAGCTGATTCCTCTGAAGTCACAGGCAGTGGCCCCATTAGTGACTCCACCTGCCCTCCTCTGCCTTCTGCATTCCCCAAGGCTGACCAGAAGCCAATGAACAGTGGCCCTCCTTGGCTGCAGGTGCCTGTGCCAATGTCACTGTGTCAACTGCTAGCCCCTCAGGCAGGTGACTGGCTCAGTTCTCGGGGTAACACCAGGAATCTGCCTTGGGAGGGTGGCAGGGGTGAGAGTGTTTCCTGAACAAAAACACACTGCCACCATTATTGTCTTCTTATGTAGCTCACTTTACATGGGACAAGGAAGACACCCAGAATGCCATGACTACAATGGTTCCCTTGTTGGAGGTCACCTATCCAAACCTATAATGAAAAGAACCATCGGATCAGAGGTTTAGGAAATCTGAAATCATCCTTAAAATGCTTGCCTTTCTGAAACTGTTATATTAATTTATCATCTAAAGAACTAGCTCTTCATATTGTTTGATTCCATTTAAATGCAATTTCCAGAATAGGAAAATTCAGAGACAGGTAGGTGGTGGTCAGCGACGGGGGTTTTGTGGGGAATCAGAAGGTGGTTGCTAACAGAGATGGAATTTCCTTTTCGGGTGATGAAAATGTCCTACGTTAGGTAATGATAGTTTTCCAATTCTTTAAATGTACTAAAATCCACTGAATTGTACAGGTGACAGGATAAATTTTATATGAATTATATTTCAATAAATCAGTTATTTAAAAAAGAACCGATTCTTTAGTCTCTTTTGGGTCATGAATTCCTTTGAGAAGCTGAGGGAATCTAGGAACACCTCAGCCAGAAAGGCACTCATGTGCCCATAAACCCAAAGTGTTGTATACAATTTTAGTAGATATCATGCTCATATACCTATACTCCTAAATTAAGAATGGCTAGTCTAATGTATAGATCAGTATTTAAAAAAAAAAATCTTCCTCCACAGAAAGTGGATATTTAGTACCAAATTACTGAATATACTCCTGAAGTTACACACTGGCCTATATTCAGGAAAGTATACTCTGGATTTTCACTTAGAACTTCTTGCACATCGTGAATCTGTTGAGAAAGACAGCATGGTAGGAGAAAAGGCAAAGCTTTTGTTCAGTGACCTGTAACCTTGAGAACAAGCAATCTTTCTGACTCTATTGATTCATTCACAAACCGAGACAAAATTTACACAGGGCTGTTTGTTGTAGGGACCTCACACACACACACACACACCACCTGACTCAGAAGCTGAGACCGCGCTAGGTGCTCCACATGTAGATTTATATCTGATGAGCTGACAGCAACACATACTACCAGGACTACAGGGCAAATCCAAGGGGGCCACACCTACCTTGTTCCCCAGGTTGCCATTGGCTTGTTTCGAGAAGAGCAGAGCAACCATCTCTGCGTGACCTTCTTGGGCAGCCAGGTGAAGGGGAGTCACACCTTGCACCGACTCTGCATTCGCAGACCCCCCATACTGCAGCAGACTGCGGGCCACCTCCATCTGGTTCTGCTTGGCAGCAATGTGCAAAGGGGTGTAGCCATTCTGAAAGAGAGGAAGCCACCCAGAGTTTGGTGACAGGAATGCCCAGTTGGCAATATGAGTGCCTGAGGGAAGGCTGGGCGTGGCTCTAGGGCTGCTGAACAACTACTGAGCAGGGCTGGTGTCACCCAGGAGAGCAATTTAAGTAAACAAACAAACAAAAGCCATTTGATTTGGAGATGGCTCTCCAGGCTCCCATAGCCAGGAAATGTCTGTCCCTTTTTTTTCACCATCTATTTTGTGTTATTCTGCTTAGATAGATAAACTGCTGTGCAGGAAATGCTCTGTCAAGGAACAAAGCTGGGATTCAATTAGGTGGGCTACAGAACAACTAGAAGACTAGGTGGGCAAGAAAACAAGAATAACCCCAAACCCCAACATTTCATAAAAGAAAGAAACAGCAGCCTTTCTCCTGTCCCTGTACAGTTGGGGCAAGTGCTGCCTTTTGGGCCTGCTGGCATCAGACAGGTGATGGAAGTGGACACGCACCAGGCAACGGGCGCCAGTCTTCGTTTGTGACCCGGGCAAGTATTCTACCTCCTGGACTTCCTTTTGTATTTCTTTTAAGCCATTAAAAGAGTGTTAGAGCAACTACCTTTTTCATTTCTCAAAGTTGTTGGGTAGATCAAATATGATAATGTACAGAAAGAATCTTTCCAAAATAAAGATACAAAAGGAAATAAAACTAATGTGGGTTTGTGATGCATTGATTCATAAGGCATTGTAAGTACAAGGCGAGACAAAGGAGTTTGGGTGAGTAAGTCAATTATGCCATTGTCTTCTATTCATTCTGCTATTTTTTTTTTTAATGAAACTTTCTCCATGAAGGAAGCAGTGCATGGGTTTACATCTGGAGCAAACCTCTTATCCAACTGCGGATCGTTGACAGCCTATAGATTGGCTCCTGGGCATCGTTTTTTTAGAAACCACTTTTCCCTCCATTATCTCTTTTGAGCTTCACCCACACCATGCAAGGTACTAAATGCAGGTATTTTTATTGCTATCCTATATTGCAGATAAAGAAGCCAATCCCCTGAGGGGTGAGTGCTTTATCTAACGCCAAATAATAAAATGACAGAATTGAACTCAGATATGCATGCGAATCACTTGAGACCTTGTTCAAATGTAGATTGTAATTAAGAAGGTGTAGGAAGGTAATAATGCTCTCAGATGATGTCGATGTTGCCTTTCCAGGGATCACACTTGAGTAGCAAGACCCTCAAGCACTCATGGCAAAGAGGGATGCCAGGCCCAAGGACTTCTTTTCCCAGGGCAGGTGGGTACCTGCTATTTTTTCAAGGAGCTTCCTCCCACCTTGGCCGGCCTCCCCTAGCTGTTCTTGAGGACTGCATTCCCCTCTGCCAGCCACCGTTTTCTTGTGGCAACCAACATTTTTCACTCTTTCAGGATCACTGGTGAGGAAAAGGGAAGGGAATAGAAGGAGCTGACCAACAGAGTAAAATCCCAGTTATATAGTAATGGGGACATGGAAAAGGATAGCTAGGTTGGTCTGTAAAGTGGCTTTCATTGGGGAAATTAAAAATTTGTAATTTACTTCCCAAATTAAATTGAATTAAAAATCATTCTCTTGGCAAAATTATGTAAGATAATTCTTTCTAGTATTTCTCCTTTTTAATTGGATTCCATTATGAGAAAACATGACATTGTTCTTTGGGGGTTGTGTTCATAAAACAAGATCAGCATTTTGATTGTAATAAAATTAATTAAGCAGAATGATTTTTTTTTTGTTCTGTATCAAAAGAGCAAAAAAGAGATGTGGCTCAGTGGTCAATCCTGAGACATGGAGCCATCTCCAATTACAGATCATCTTCTCTGAGACCACTGTAGAATGTTTCCTCCCCAGCAGGGCAGACACCATCAGATGAGATGCACCCTCTGCTAGTGCTGGCCCAGAGAAGGCATTTGCTATAAGAAAGTAAGGATTATTAGGATTTCTTTTAAAGTACAAAGGAAAGTCACTGACAAAATTTGAAGTACGTTCATGGACACATCACCAGGAGTTCCAGACCACTTAGGCAACTGTGGGTGTCCGTGTTGGCAACAGCGCCCTCTCCTGGCCAAAGGAGAGCTTGCTCTGGAGATGTCTAGGGCTGCTAGGTCACCTTGTATCATAGAGATGATACAAGAGCCACTGACGATTTCTGAACATGGGCTATTCCAATGGAACTTCCTCAAAACCAGGACTAATGATGACAAACCAGGTAATGATGACCTTCTACAGGTGACAAGGACAAGAGGCAATTGGGCTAGCGAGTCGGGGAGCAGTTAGGGAGGGATGTGTGCCAGGCAAAGACTCTTCTTTCCTAAGGAAATGAGCTCATCTGGAGGACTGAATGCGTGAGAGGGCTCTGCCTGAATGTTGCAACATTAGCATCAAATTAGGAAGGGGAGAGTTTGGTTTGGGTGCAGAGGGATTTGCATGTGAAATTCTACAAAATTGCCAGACTACTTTGGAAACTATTTTTTGCCATGGAAACAAAACCCATCTGTACAGCGTTTGCACTTGCATTTAGCTCTCTTTAAATATCATGAACCTGGCTCCAGTTCCTTTTATATAAGTAGGAGAGTGAGGAGGAGGAGGAGGAGGGGAGTCCAGCTTTTTATTTTTAGAAGCAGGAGTAAGTCGACATCTCAGCAGGGGCCGCGAGCTCCCTCTGCACAGTAACGTGAGGTTCACTATGACAATAGCAGGGACAGAAGCCTGAGGAGACAGGGCATCTGGGAGATGCTGTGTCTGCAGGAAAGGGATGCTGTAAGGTTGAGATAAGCATCCGTGCTGAGCAGGGGAAAACAACTGAAGCCTTGCACTGATTTTTCTCCTGCCTGGGCCACTGAGGCTCCAAAGTCTGCAGGTGTCAGCTGGAATCACACAGGGACCATCCTGTGGCTCCCTCCCAGGCAGCTCTGACACTCCCTCCACATGACAGCTCTGCCATAAATTGTCATCTGATGGTGTTTCTCATGCTTTGGGCTGCCCTGTCAGATTACGAACTTCTGGGCACAGAGACTGCATGTGTCTCTTGTATGCCTAGTCCTGTCCCTCTCCTTTCCCTGCCACCAGCCCTCAGAGTCCTGGCCCTCATAGACACAAACCCCACATAGCCCTCACCTTTCCACAGGGTGGGGGCATCCCCGCAAAATGCTCCTTCCTTGCTGTGGCTATGTCCTTGTGTTACCTCCTCCCCCATGCTGGCCCTACAAAGTTCCTTTGACTCTGCTTCCCTGAGGGTCCACATTATATATATTCCACATTATATATATTCCACATCATATATATTATACTTAAAAGAATGCCACAATCTAAATGTCTGAACTCATGAGAGAAATAAATTTTGGGGTGATCATTCACTCAGAAAAGGCTTCTTCCTTCAAGGTTCCAGAAAGTGCCCCCAGCAGCCTTGGATGTTTCTCCAAGTGTCAGCATCTTGCCCCAGCATCAGAGCACGTGGAGAGCAGGTGGGAAATTGGACTCCTGGGCCATCCCACAGTCCCACTGAGTAGGGATCTCTGAGAACAAGGCTTATGGCTCCCCAGAGATCCTTATCCAAGCTGATCTTTGATAGCCAGTTTACAAAATTCAGCTGGCAGGCGGCTGCTTGGGGCATACATTTGGTGTGTAAAGCCAATTCCATCTCTGCCAGGGAGCCTGTTGCGGAGGAGTGTCGCTGCTTCCCACCTCATTCCTGGTCTCCAAATAGTGGCAATTATATTGCAGGTAACATATGTGAAAGTGGGGTGAGGTGTCTGAGGTAAAAAATAAAAGCAAAACACCAGACCCCTTGGGTGGCATTCACAACAACCCTCTGTGGGCTGCAGACTCGGCGCCCACGGCTGGGCACTCCTGGTCTGCCCAGGGAGGCATCTTACCCAGGCGGGACTGTGTGGGGAGCCACCCCGGGGCAGCAGTAGCTTGACGATCTCCAGGTTATTGTGATGAACGGCCACATGTAGGGGAGTCAAGCCATTCTGCAAAGGGACAAAACAGAGAAATGAGAACAGCTTCACTCCAGTGGGTTTTCCACTTGGGAGCCCTTTATGAGATTCACAGCACTTATTTTAAACAGGTAAAATCTGCTTAAAAATTTATAAAATCTGTAATAATCTGGTTAAAATTTTATTGAAGGATGGGCTGTGGGTGTAGCTCGGTGGTGGAGGATCTGTCCAGCATGCATGAGGCCCTGGGTTTGATCCCCAGCACTGCAAAATAAATTTTAAAAATAGCTGGGTGCAGTGGCACACACCTATAATCCCAGTGGCTCAGGAGGCTGAGGCAGGAGGATCGAAAGTTCCAAGCCAGCCTCAGCAATGGTGAGGTGCTAAGCAACTCAGTGAGACCCTGTCTCTAAGTAAAATACAAAATAGGGCTGGGGATGTGGCTCAGTGGTGAGTGCCTCTGAGTTCTATCCCTAGTACCCCACCACAAAATTAATTAATTAAGAAAATAAAGTTACTGTTAAAAATAAATAAATAAACGTGTTCCCAGTCAATCTTGACTAGGAGTCACTAGGGGACATACCCAGCAGGACCCAGGGCCAAGTACTATCCCTGTGGAGGCAGCAGGGGATGCAGAGCAGTGAAATCACCCTTGCTCAGAGAAGGCCTTCTGACCTTCTAACATTACTAGGCCTTTCACAGAAAGATCACTCTTTTCAAAGGCCATTCTCCCTAGATGGCTGCCCAAAGCGTGGGCAAAACAGGTAAGAGATGGAATCCACAAGTAGTGAAGTTTGTCGTGTTTTGTTTCCTTTGACCCCAGAAGGAGACGGACAAACTCACCTTCCCGGCAGCGTTGGGGTGTGCGTCTCTTTCCAGCAGCAGCTCTGCCACCCTCACCTTCCCGTACTTAGCCGCCACGTGGAGAGGGGTAAATCCTTTCTGAGGAGAAACACAGGCTGTCAGGACCACAGGAAGCCAGAGCCATTCTCCTGGGAGAAAGGGCCCACAGCAATGGAGGCTTCCCAGCACCCCAAGTTTTGATCCCTTTGAGATGCCAAGACCTCAGGAACCCAAGCTTCCTCCACCAGGCACCTCTGCATTCCTCCCATGCCTGATATTGTCATTAGATGCTCACTCCCTGGGAGAAGAAAGGGACTTATTCCTTCTTCTTCTTCTTCTTCTTTTTTTTTTTTTTTTTTGGTGGTGCTGGGTATTGAACCCAGGGCCTTGTGAGTGCTAGGTAAGCCAGCACTCTACCAACTGAGCTATATCCCAAGCCCCTTATTCCTTCTTGAATCTCCAAAATCTCCCTGTCATGGGTTAGAGCAGGTGCCTGAGAAATAATTGGTCTGTGATAAATGGATGAATAGTGAATGAAAAAGAGAATGGCTCACTGCCCTTTCTGGGAAAGTACAACAACACACCAGGCTCACAGATGGTGGCCAGTCCTATGGGTGTCCACCCTTCCAGCTGCCTACATTGTCATTAAAACTTCAAAGACCATCAGGCAGGAATCCCCTTGGAGCCCCAGTCTGTTATTTATGGCTTTTCTTTTCTTTTTCTTTTTTTCCTTTTGTGACAAGTTCTTGCCCAGGCTTGCCTTGAACGTGAACTGGGCACAAGTGGTCCTCCTGCCCTAGCTTTCCTAGGATTTGGGACTACAGGTGCCTGTCACTTTTTAAGAACAAGAGAAGAAGGGCTGTACCTTGGTCATGCAGGCCTGGGATGCCTCCTTTTCCAGAAGGGCCAGGGCTGTATCCACATGGCCCTCTCGGGCCGCAGTGTGCAGGGGCGTGTGCCCGGCAGTGGTGGCCAGGTTGGGGTTGGCATTATTTTCTAAGAGGAGCTTCACCATGTTTGTGTGGCCGATGCGAGCTGCACAGTGAAGTGGGGTCTGGTCATCCTGAACCCCAAAGGGAAAACAAAGATTGGGAAATGTTAACATTATCAAACCCAACATTTCATTTTACAAACAAGAAAGGTAAGGCCCCGAAAGGTTAAATGATTTTCTCAGGGACACAGCGAAGCGGATAAAGAGCTGGAATTTGAGTCAAGCCTTTGAGTCATAGAAAATGATATGTTCTATCTTATTTAACTTTATAACTCTTCAAGTAAGTTGTTATTTCCACTTAATTGTCGAAAGGCTCAGCCCTCCCATCTGTAAAATGAGAATGATAATATTGACAGATAATGTACAGAAAGGGCCTCATGTAGTGTTGGGTATATAATAAACACTCAATAAACTTGTTATTACCATCTCCCCAGACCTTTCCAAGCGGATATGCTCATCTTTCTGTTTGAACTTTACTTTCAGTTTCTCTACACCAGGGGTCATGGGAGAGTTAAATTGCTAAAAGGGAAGGACGTAGTCTTGTCCCACCCCTGCCCAACTTCCTGTTTATGGCTATGGTGTAGGGCTCCACAGACAAGGTCTTTCTGTCACTGGGCTCATCCCAAGTTATGGCCCAGACACAAATCTCAGGTCCTAACGCTAAGGGGCATCTTCAACCATCTATGGGTAGGAAAGCATGATCTTTGCCCATCGACTTGCAGAATCAGCAGCTATCCTTATTGGTCACTCACCCAACATTTCAAAAATGTGCATACAACAAGGGGAAATTCTCCATTTTTGTTTTTAATTAGTTAATTTGATATACGTATTTTTGTGGTACTGGGGATTGAATCCAGGGGTGCTCTATCACTGAGCTACATCCCCAGTCCTTTTTAGTTTTTATTTTGAGACAGGGCCTCACTAAGTTGCCCAGGCTGACCTTGAACTTGAGATCCTCCTGCCTCAGCCTCCAGAGCTGTTGGGATTACAGGTGTGCATCCATGTGCTCTGGAAATCCTCCACTTTTACATCTAGTGATTCTTGGCTGATTTTCACTGATGGCACTATGTTTAAAAAGCTGCTTTCCTCTTTAAACCACTAGCCCAATAAACACTGCTGGCCAGCCACATTCTTCAGACTTTCATTATTCTAGAGTAACAGCTTTAACACAAAAAATATCTCTGGCCTTCTCAAAAGCCCTGCAAAGCAGAATCAGAGCTTTTCGTGTGACCTAAATGGGAATGACAAGTGATCACTGAGCCAAAAACACTGCTGCCCGGCCTCTAATGAGGATGGATTCCCCTTATTGTGCTTGAGCTGCCTCCACCCCAGGATCCTTCCCTTCCCGCCTCTGGAACTCACCTTGGCCTTAGCATTGACTTTGGCTTTATTCTGGAGCAGGTATTTGGCCACTTCTGTGTGCCCTGCTCTGGCTGCCATGTGCAATGGAGTTTCTACTTTCTGTAAAATAACAAAATTATAGAACTGTTAATACATGCTGGGTTTGCAAAAGGACACACACAGAGCTCCCAAGTGCCAGTCTGGTGTAGCTTGATGGGGTGTTATCCAAGAGGAGTTGCCCCAGCAAAAGACTCTTTGGCCTGTTGGTGTATGTGTGTGTGTGTGTGTGTGTGTGTGTGTATGCGCGCGCGCGCATGTGCATGTGGGTGCACGTGCACTCTAGGTATTCTTAAAAATAAACCCCAGAGCTAATGAATATTTAAAAATATAAATGATTTCCAGACTACACAGAAGTTCCAAAATATTATCCAAAATAAAATCCTGTAGATTTACAGATGTGGGGCAAATTTAATTGAGAGAGCATCAAGAGACAGGAAGGTTCTCCCATATCTGAAGCCTTCGCTACCCTGAGAATTTCACCTCCAGGCCCAGAGCAGAGACTTCAGTAGTGCACACAAAGTTCCCCTCAGAGCCCTCCACCCAGAGCAACAAGTCTTGCTGTGGCCAAGGTCTTACCACGTTGGAGACATTGGGTGATGCCCCTCGCTGCAGGAGGTTCTTCACTATGGGAAGGTGCCCCATGAAGGAAGCCACGTGGAGAGGTGTCAGGCCAGACTAGGACAGACAAGAGTGGAGAGAGCTGAGTGGTTGTCTTCCCCGCAAAGAAGAGAGAACCAGATGGCATCTAATGTGTTCTTACAGCTAGGTCCTCCATGAACGGTTTTCCAAGAAGAGGGAGTTAAATGAGGTGGGTTTACTTTCAGGACAATGGCCAGAGGAACAAAATCACTGGAGGGAAAGTTCTGCCCACTTTTATAGCTTGAAATATTGCTTCAGATCTTGGAAAGCTCCCTGAGACTTGGCACAAGCCCGCTCATCTCAGTCACCCCTGGTTCATTCCTTTGAACAGGTCTTGCACACACACACAATCCTGCAGCCACAGCCACAAAGAACAATCAACTCCCAGAGAGGGCTAGTGGAGGAAGATCAGGGCAGAACCAGGGCCCATCTACAGAGTCTCTCCTACCTCGGTGACCGCATCAATGGAGGCTCCTGTCTTCAGCAGCAGCTCCATAACACGGATGTGGTTCTTCTTGCAGGCGATGTGTAAGGGGGTAAAGCCATTCTGCAGCCCCACACAAAGGGAGATAGACATCAGGAGCTTACACACTAGCCAAGGAGCGCATGCAGGACTGCACACCCACCCCAGCCCACCAGTGGGTGCCCACAGAACAATGAATAAAAGCACATGAATTGATTAATCTTAGTGTGAATCGTGAAAGAGATAACAAGGCCCTCAGTTTATACATCAAACATGCTCCTAAACGTGTTGTTTAGAAATCTTTTAAAAAATTCCATTGTATTTCTGGATGCACTAAAAGAGCCTTGTGTAACGTCCCCTTAAGGGTAAACTGATGATAAAGAGTACTTTGGGGGAAGCAAATCATGTTCCTTCTGCCCTGAAACCATGGATCAGTATGAGAGCAATGGATTTTTGTTTTTAAGTGTGATTGATACACTGGAAAGCAAGTTCCACAGGGCAGGGACTTTCATTTTTGTCTGCCTGTCCTTTTAGTGCTTTATCCCCTTAGGGCAGTGGTTCTCAAACTAGGGGAAGGGGTGGGAAGAGGAGAGGGGTTTTCACTCTTTCTCTACACGTGGCCATGTCCAGAGACACTTTTTTTTTTTTTTTTTGGTACTGGGGATTGAACTCAGGGGCACTCAACCACTGAGCAACATCCTCAGCCCTATTTTTGTATTTTATTTAGAGACAGGGTCTCACTGAGTTGCTTAGTGCCTTGCTTTTGCTGAGGCTGGCTTTGAACTCCCGATCCTCCTGCCTCAGCCTCCTGAGCCACTGAGATTACAGTGTGCCAACCACGCCCGGCTCTGGAGACACTTTTGATTTTCATAACTAGGGGAGGAGAGCTGTTGCTACCTAATGGGTTGAGGCCAGGGATGATGCTGATCATCCTACAATGCTCAGAACCACAAACATCAACTCCAAATGTCAATGGTCCAAGATTGAGAAGCCTCCAGTACCCCAGTGCATGGCTGAGGTCAATGCTTAATGAAAGCATTTTCAAATGAATGAATGAGCCATCCTCTGCTGCCCTTGAAAGATGCCTTGCCCCACTCAGTTCTCCTCCTCTGGGAATGGACAGGAGGCAGAAGGAGATAATGGGTTATAGCCCCACTAGTTTCCTGGACCAACCTGGGAACCCTTGACCTAGGGAGGAGAGAGAAAAACCATGGCCACAGGAGGAATCTGCTTTAGGCCTAAACTCATGCCTGTAGCAGTGTCATGTTAAGCCCCTCTGCAGAAGAAGATTACTCAGCTCAGGCCACTGCTGCCATTCCTGGGAAAGCCCGGCAGTCTCTGAGACTTCATTGTTCTTCAGCCTGGGCTTGGTTGGAGCTGAAGTGGTTCCTCAACCCATGTGTACACCATGAATGCTGCTTCTGGAGTCAGGACTCCTGGGCACAAACCCACCCTGGACCACAGCTCGCTACAGGGGCTGTGCTAACTGAGTGCAGGAGTGAAGGATGAGCACACACCAAGTGCACTTGTCTCCCAGGCTTTAGCAGCCACCCACACTGCACAGGCCCTGAATCTTAGGATCCTCTCAAGGCACCTGCTCTGGTCCTGCCCAGGTCAGGCTCTGGTTCTACCTCCCTCTGTCCTTGTCCCCTCCAGCACCTTCTTTAATAGCTGCCCACTCACCAGGGCTCTGGAGTTTGGTTTGGCTCCTTTATCCAAAAGGACCTTGGCCACCCTGTGATGGCCACAGTGGGCTGCGACATGGAGTGGGGTCAGGTGGTCCAGGGTGATGTCGTCTATCTCTGCATTGTATTGCAATAGAAGTCGGACACAGTCGAGGTGGTCTCCCTGAGCCGCCATGTGAATTGGGGACAAGCCATTCTGGGTAAAGAAAACAACACAAACAATTGCAAGGCTTTCTGGGAATGGAACACGGAAATTCAGGACAATGATACCAACATCACTTCCCTTTTCTGGCCTATGTGATGCTTTGAAGTGAGTCCTGAGTGAGCTTGGTTCAATCAGGCCTCCCTGCTCCTGCTGGCCTCCAGCTACATTCTCCTTTCCACCCAAATACTCCAAGCCATTACCAGTTAGGCCCACCTTTTCCACAAACCCTTCCCTGACCACCCTGGACCCCTGTGGGCTTTCCTGATCTGTGCCATTCACTTAGACCTTATTCTCATATTTGTCAAATCATGGTTAACTTTTCAGATGTGTGTATTACTTCTCCTTACAAGCATCTTAAGATCAGTGGCTCTATCTAATGCTTCTTTCTCTTCCTCCCTCCTTCCTTTCTTTACATACACTGGGTTGGAATTCAGGGCCTTGCACCTGCTAGGCAAGCATTCTACCACTGAGCTATATCCCAGTCTTATTCTAAATTTTATTTTGAGAGGGTCTCAACAAGTTGCTCAGGTTGGCCTTAAACTTGCAGTCCTCCTGCCTCATACAACGACAGGCTGCACCATGGCACCCAGCTCTAATGTTTCTTAAATGCCTCACAGTGCCAAATAAATGTGTGTATCATACTTAGTGGTCCTTAATTAATGTGGTTTTCAGTGAATAAAGTGACAAAGTAGAACTGGATCTGGATCCTTCTGTTCCTGGCTCCTGACAAATGCACTTCAGTGGTTGAGTAGGGGCCTGGTTTTCTACTTTGACACATCTTCTAAATTCACCCCAAGGAACAGGGCAGAAGGCCTGGAGGAGGTAGAGGCAGAACTTCCCTCCTGGAAGACTCAAGTCCTCACATTAGAAACTAGAGATGGACCTTTGCTCTGGCCTCTAATGGAGCTTGAGAAGGACAGTTTCATTTTCTTTTTAAAACTTCACTCCCATTTGCCCTAGGCTCTGAAGACTTCTAAAAGTCTTAGTTTCTATTGCTTCTGGAGCTAGGATCAAAGAGATAGGGATTGATTTAGAGTCTGTGGGCCAGATCTGGCCTGCAGATTTACCTAGCTTTGTAAACAAAGTTTTGTTGGAACATGGCCACTAGTTTGCCCATGTTTACTTTTTCATTCCATTGGCAGTTTAATCATTGCAACAGAGACTGAAGCCTGTAAAGCCTAAATATTTACTACCTGGTCCTTTAGATAAAATGTTTTCAATCCTTGATCCAGAATAATTAGAACTTCCTATGTGACAGGTGTTGCAATAAATGTCACACACACTATTGCATTCAGTTGTATTGACATCTCTCTTTTACAGAAATGGGATTTGATCCCAGGTCTGTCTGATCTGGATCCCTGCCTGGAAGATTCCCCCAACAGGAAGGAGGTACACACCTTGGTTTTGGCTTGGATGGGTGCCCCGTGGTCCAACAGGATCTCTGAGATTCGCACGTGCCCATTTCGAGCTGCACAGTGGAGAGGTGTCAATTCGTCCTTTAAAAGACAGAGTGAAAAACAGAAAGCCCAAAAGGCACCCATCAGAGGCCATTTGGAGAGAAGACTGCCTGCAGCATTGTTCTCAGCTGCAGAAGTGCTGATGTTTCCTTTGGGGCTAGTTTGACTCCAGCTTATGATCTTTTCCCGCTGCACCAGGCAGACATGGCAAGATGCCCTGGGAGGCGAGTGGTGTGTCACTAACGGGGTCACCAGGAGCTTACCTCTCCAGGTGAGTCTCTCGAGGGCAGACCCCCCTCCCCTGACCTGGCCATGAAGGTTGCTGGCACCCACCTTGGTCCTTGTTTCTATCTGGGCTCCCCGGTCTAGCAGGAGTCGCACCATGATCACGTTGCCCCTGCGGGAGGCGATGTGCAGTGGTGTGATACCGTTCTGGAGGGGAAGAAGCAGGGTACAGTCAGGAATAGGCATCCTCTTGAATGTGGCTGGGTGCACCCCGCTCCCCAGCGCCCCAGCCCTGCAACTGCTACAGCACTGTAGCCATTTTAAACCTACTGTTAGGGCATTTCTCACTGAAGAAAGGTTTTAAAACCTGAGAGGACCTATTTACACTGTTGTTGGCCAAGCCATGTCCCCCAGAGTCACCCTAACAGACAGAAAGCAAGCTGACTATTTGAAAACTGGCCCCTGCCTCTATGTTTCCCATGTTAAGAATGACCAAATGTGGTTTAGAGTTTCTCAAGACAAAACAGGCAGAAAATGAGGGATGGCTGTTTAGGAACCTGTCAGCAAGCAAGGGGTCTTGATAGACACTGCTGTTTCACCCCTAGGCATTTCTGCAGCATGGATGAATTCCATGGTGTCAGGGCAAGAGGCAGGGACACCCAGATTCTAGAAACCCCCAGACTCCCAGACAGCCATGCAGAAGATAGGTTACCTGTGGCGTGAAGTTGACACTGGCTCCCCTGTTGAGGAGTAACTGGGCCACATTGAGGTTCTCGTAGTGAGCTGCGATGTGGAGGGGGGTAAATCCCGTCTGGGGTACAACAGAGGGGTAGAAAACCTGTCATGTGTCTTCCCAAGAGAGGAGAGAAAACCTGGCATCTCTAACCAAGAATCAGTCTGGGGATCCGGGAAAAGTTGGTAGATCCAGAGGACCTAATACATGAAGCAGATTTTGATGGATGGTCGCATCGCAGAATGGGTCAAGGGACATCCTGTAGCTTGTTGTATTAAAAAAACAGGCACCTGAGTGACCAGTCTCTGCTTTGTGCCCATGGACAAGCCATAGACTAGGATTGCCTCAAACTCTGTAGGGCCACTCATCGGAAAGATTACTTAGGAGGAGATTTTAATTCATGGATGGCAAGTGTTATGGGGGTCCTTGATCTTAATTCTAGGGATAGTTTCAGCTTCCTAAAATAGTCTGATGACTCATTTGCTTGACCAAAGGCAGACCTCTGGCCCCTTGGTGGGTCCATTGTTGCCACCCTGTCTTATAACCTCAGACACATCTATCCCTTGTCAGCTGTTTTGGAGACAAAACCCAGTGGCCATGGGTTAGAGTGGAGTGGGGTGAGGGGGCCATGTGAACAATTCAGCCCAAATCCACTCCCACTGAAAGAAAACAGAGTCTAAATGTTCAGACAGTGGATCCAACAGTGTAGATGACTGATTAACAAATGAGGCCCCTGGGGAAACCCCTCTTTCCACACTCCAGCCCCCCAAGACTGGGACACCTCCTCCCTCTAGCAGGGGGCAGCTGGGGTAAAAAAAAAAAGGGGGGGAAGAAAAGCCCAGAATGCCACTCCTGGACCCCGCTTCACTCTGGATGGAGACTCATCCCACCCCACCTGAACGTTCCCTGCTCCCTGCTAAGAACATTTTTCTCTGTATTCATGGGGTAGGGGGGCACCTAAAGCGGAGCTGTCTACTGGCTCCTGTCTGTGTTGTTACTGGGAACCTGATGGCACTGTGGAGCTGGTGCCCAGTGTGACAGGTGGTCCGTCTAGGGCCTGGCTCATTCTTGGGAAATGGTTGGGTGTTTGTGGTGACTCTATCACATAGGCCTCCATGGTTGTGGCCTGGTGTCCCCCGGGTGCTCCTCCTGGCCACCCTCACCTTGGAAAGGACATCTGGGTTGGGGTCATTCTGCAGAAGCACCGCAGCTGTCCGTGTGTCATCGTTGCGGGCTGCGATGTGCAGGGCCGGGAGGCGCACTTTCCCTTTCGTCCCATAGTTGATGAGGTGTGCCACCACATTCTCATGGCCCTGCTGCAGAGCCACGGCTAGAGGAGTGAAGCCATCCTGGCCAGAGGAGAGGAAAGATGGATTTACTCCGACTGTTATGGTTTGGATACGTGATGTCCTTCGAAAGCTTACATGTGAGACGATGCAAAAACATTCAGAGGTGAAACAATTAGGTTATGAGAGGTGAAACACAATCAATGGTTTAATTCACTGGTATGGATTAGCTGGGTGGCAACTATAGGCAGGTAGAGTGTGGCTGGAGGAGGTGGGTCACTGGGAGTGTGTCTTTGGGGTTTATATTTTGTCCCTCGTGAACACAGCTCTCTCTGCTTCCAGATTGCCACGTCCTGAGCTGCTTTCTTCCTCCACACTTTTCTGCCATCGTGTTCTGCCTCATCTGGGCCCTCAGCAATGGAACTGGCTATGTGTGGACTGAGATCTCTCTGAAAGTGTGAGCCCCAAACAAACTTCTTCTCCTCTAATTGTTCTTGTCAGGTCTTTTAGTTACAGCAACAAAAAAGCTGAGTAAAACACTGACTATTGGACACTTGCTGTCCTCAAGATGGGACACATACTCTTGCCTCAGGGCTTTTGTTCCTGATGGGTCCCAGCCTGAAATGACCTTCCTCTGATGTGCTGCTTTTCAAAGCTCTCTTTATCCTCCAAGCTTAGCTTTTAAATGCCACCTATCTCCTCCCTAAAGATTTTCTTGTACCACTTCCTTGCTCTGCAGCCTCACAGGGCCTGTGGTAATCATTTTTAAGCATTTACTTAATTTTCCTTTATCATTTGTTTCTAGCCTCACTGTGTGCTATGAGACATTTTACTGCTTTTGATTCTTTACCTACCCTCCCTCTCAGCCCATCCATCCGTGCCAGAATCATGCCTTGAACATGGCAGAATATTACTGAATACCTACCATATGCTAGAAACCAAGGCAGGCCCTGAGCATTTAATGTGAATTACTAATATTGATTCCTTTGGCTGCATACTGAGGGGAACAGGATCCCGTGAAGTGCTGAGGCAGGATACGGCAAAGTCATTGAGTCAAGAGTCAAGAACAGCCTCGGCTCCAGTTAATCCAACTACTAACCTCAGGATCAGAGCTAAAGTGACTTGTTCAAGGGTGTACCATGGGTTCATGACAAGAGCCTTTCTCGGGTAGGCAGACTCATCAATCAGACATTCACACACCAGCCCCACCCACTAGCCCTCAGCGTTGGATATCAGCAGGATGACATCTTCAAGTCTGATGTCATTTCTTTCATCTACGTCTGGGCATTGCTCAAGACCCATGACTTTGTCTCTTACTCCCTTGAAGAACCTCGGGACACTCAGGTGTGACATGAAGTGACATGCAAGTGACATGAAGGTCAGGAACACTCAGTGACACTCTATGTCAGTTGAGATCTCAGATACAGTCAGGACCCATCCCAGGAAGATCCCATATCATATGCCCAGGGCACTCTGGTGATGAGGGCGTTTTCCCAAAGTACTTACTTCTGTGGCTACATTCTGATTAGCTCCATTTTCCAGTAAAAACTTTACCACTTCCAAATGATTTTCTTGTGCTGCCATGTACAGGGGAGTAAAGCCTTTCTGCAAGCCAAAAGAAGAGGCCATTAGAACTCACCTGCAATGAGGAGAGAGGCAGACGCAGGCAGAAAACCCTCGAAAAGAGAGGACAGCTCTCTCTTCATCTCATTTTCACACATCCCCCAGGGAGATACCCCCCGTCTGTGAAGACTCACTGTCTCTTTGAAACAGCATAATGAGTTATTACCAAAGGCCGCAAGGTGGGGATGACTCTCCAGGAAGTTTGGGTCTTGCCCCTCACCACTGTCAGTCTGCCCCACTGGATCACATGTACCCCTTCCATTTCTACTCCTTTCCTTGTTAACCCCCAAGCCTCATCCCCTTCCCCCTCCACACACAGTTTCTCTCCCTAAATGAACCATGACTAAATATTATTAATCAGTTGGTTTACTGGATAGTGATGGGCCTGCAATGCTTAGAATATGTAGTCTAATCATGAAAAAAATAATAAAGAATGCACGCATCCCTGCTTGGATACAAGTTGCTAATAAATCTAGGCTCGGCTACAATGTGTGTGTGTGTGTGTGTGTGTGTGTGTGTATGTATGTATTCTCTTGATGCAATAGCTTATGTGTCCACTGTGTAATAGAAAAGAGGAGTGATCTGGGACTAGAGAAAGCCATTACCTGTGACTGAGCATTGACATTGGCGCCATAGTTGACCAGCTCCCGGACCACCTCATCCTGACCTGCGAGGGCAGCGATGTGCAGAGCTGTGTTTCCTTTCTGAAATGCACGGAGGGAGGGACAGAGTAGGGTTTGCACTGGACTTGCATAAATGACTATCATAGGTAGCTAAACACGAGTGCTGAGGTCTAGTGGCCTTCTCTTGGGTCAAAAGAGGTAGAAAATGCACATGTGTGTGCTTGGCCTGACATATATCTTAAAATAGTATTGTAGACACCAGGAGAAAAATTATTCTTGCATTTTTTTAATAAAAAATTATGCTGACAGTACACACACACACACAATGTAACTTCTCAACAGCTAATCTTGCTGCACACAGGCACAGCGCCTTGTCACTGGCTGACAGTGCCCCTTGGCACACACACCATGAGATCCGCAAGCAAACTGGCCTGTGTGGTGTGCTTCCACTACGTCTGGGAGCTCTGGAGAAAGGGAGGCAGCAGATTCCCTGGCTTGATACCCTCAATGCTGTTAAAGGGACACCCACAAACCAAAAGCTGGTCTGAAGGGGACAAAGGTGATGAGAGGATAAGAACATAAGAAAATATTAAAAAAAAAAAAAGGAAAGGGTAAAATGCACTCTATAGTGTATGTAGGGAAGAAAAGAAAAATATGAAAATAAATGGGGGGGTGCCTTCGTAGAATAAAATCTGGCAAAGGAAAATGCAAAGAGAATATTTAAGATATTATTAAGTAAAACTTAATGACAAAGTTCTCACCAAACAAGAGAGGAGGGAAAGCCAAAAAGAAAAAACCCTAAGATAAAATAAGGCATACAAGTGTCTTAAACCTCTTAAAAGATAAGAACCAGTAGCAGAAGGAAACGAGGCAGGTTGCCAGGATGTGAGTTTAACGTTCAGGTTTTCTGGTCTGTGGCTATCCTGGATACTGAACCACGGTTCACAGAGGAAGTGCAGGACCAGCTGTGTCCATCTGTGTCTAGCATGCTGAGGTTCCCTGGCCGGCCAACCCTTCTGCCAGGTTCCTCCTGACTCCCAGGAGTCTTGGGCCCAAAAGCTACCAATGTCTCCCCAAGGGATCCTCTGCATGTCATGCACTGGCACCCCTGTTCAGGGACATTCTGGGGGACAGGCTCCAGTCAGCATGTCTGTCAAGTCAAGTGGAGAAAGCAGGACTACAGCCAGACCTATCTGTCTCTGTGATACTTAAGTAGCAGAAATGATAAACAACCTATTTTTTTACAGTTCATCTGGCCCTTTGTATCCCCGGTTCTGTAGCCACAGATTCCACCAACCTTACATTGAAAATATTAGGGAAAAAATGCATTTGTACCGAATATGTGCAGACTTTTCTTGTCATTATTCCCTATACAATACAGTATAACAACTCCTTACCTAGCATTTACATTGTATTAGGTATTATAGAGGAGATGTGAAGTCTGTGCGAGGATGTGCTTAGGTTATGGGCAAATACTATACCATTCCATGTCAGAGACTTGAGCCTCCATAGATTTTTTGGTGTCTGTGGGAGTCCTGGAATCTGGATACTGAGGGACGACTGCATAAAGTTTTTAAACTAAACTCCATAATCATGTACTAATCCACTTCTGAAAATAAGAACTGATGAGAACCAGGACTTCAAACCCAGTCCTTGCACTGCAGCCACCTGTCACCTGCAGGCAAAGCTTCCTCACTGAGGTGGGCTTGAGCAGCTCAGGACCCAGCTCCACAGACACATAACCACTGTTGTCCAAGTGTCCCCAGGTAGGTCCCCTGTGGGGATCTGGGAGCTGGAAGTTCAGATCTCCATTTCTTGTGCTTTATTTAAGATCAAAGTTTGCATCAGGCAGGAGATTTTTTGTTTGTTTGTTGCCTCCCAAAGTCCCATTTGATAAGCAGAAGGATTCTTTCTCCAGGATCCAGCAGGGAATAAATGCCAGAAGCGAATGTATAGATGCTAATTAATAATTTTTCATAGAAGTCCAAGGAGGTTATGTTAAAGGTTTTGGCACTTGGGTCCTTTTCATTTGCTGTACTAAATGAAACAGGGCTGCTGGCACCAGGAACTTTTCTAGAAACCAGGACTCAGAGCTCCAAGTGGAGCATCCCTGCCTCCCGTGAAGAAGGACGTATGTTGTATCCCTTCATTACTGAGAACCCATGTGTCAGGCTCTGGGCCAGGCAGGGTAGAAACACAGAGGTTACTGAGACTCAGGTTCTCTGTCCTGAAGAGGCAGACCTCAAATGTTTCTTTCCATCTGCTCTTTCCTGCCTGAAATCTGAGGGTAGCAGAACTTTCTTTCTACCCACGAGGAAGAGAAGCTAATCAGCTGTGGAACCTGGCTGTGGGTCTTGGTTCATGCCGTGTGGGCGGAGGGCAGCGTTGATAAGGAATAACACCAAAGGGAAGTTCCTGGGAAATGGGACCCCTTCCATCCCATCTGCACACACGCACACACACACACACACACACACTCAAGAAGGCCTCTGGCCCTGGGCTGTGGGAGGCAGGAGGAAGGAGGTTGCCATCCTCTACATTCTCCCTCAGCATGAAAGAATATGACCGTGAAGGCGCAGGAAAAATTATTTAGTTCTATTTTGATCCACAAATATCTAATTTCTCCATTTTCAGGGACGCATAGAGCTCATAGAGGGGAGGATGGTTGAAACAGTGCTGAGTGAATTCAAGTGGACGGAGAGACAGAAACACAGTGAGGGAGAAGGCTTTTGTCCGTGGAGATGAAAGCTTTCTCGGTTCATTAATAGCTAAGGTGCTGAGCTCTGGCCTCTAAGGGGTGGAGATGGGAGGGTGGGGAAGCAGTGCATTTGCTTTATGCTTTTGAATTTCTAAGCATAGCTTAGGAGCCTAGATTGGTTTTGGCTTCTTGCTTATTTTTTTTTTAAATCTTTCTCAGGCTTGGGAGATCCATTACAATTCCTCAATCTGTTACGAGTCTTCCTTAGCCCACGGTTTGAGTTTTACCATTTTTTTTCCTCCTCCCTCTGCATGGCATTCCAAAACCATGCTGGCTCATAAAATTTCTATAAATAAAAGAGACACACCAAGTGTTCATTGCAAAATAACAATCAAAGGGGGGAATTTGGAAAGAGCAAAAGTGCTGAAGCATAATGTTTTCACAGCTCTTGGGGAAATGCCAGGGAAGAGCGGCTGCCCCGGCCCACACAGAGCTGGTCAGATGGTACACTGCTTGCAGCCAGGTATGTGAGAGCATCAAACAAACAAACAAATAAATAAAAATAATAATAATTACATCCCTTCATACTTTTAAGAGCAGGGTGGAGACAATTGCCACTTGTCCTGGGGTTACCAAAAAAATACCCATATATAGTCAGAAAGAGCAACTCAGTTTATTTTATCAGAGAGATCCTTTCACATTGGGAAGATGACATGAAAATTACAGAATTTTACCTTGAGATCTGATTCTACTTTCATAATATTTTGGTAGTTCACGTCATACCCATAAATTATATCTGTTCTCTACATATTGTTCTTCTGTGTTCTCTGCTTGAGAGGCAGCAAAATGTGTGCTGCACAGAGCAGAAACTGAGGCTGTGTATGAGAGCCCATCTAATAAATAACAAATGGGAAATGAGCTGGGGAGAAAACTCAAGCATAAAACATGAGAAAGTAGGGAGAGAAGAGAAAGGGGAATTGAGCAGATGGTACTTGAGCCAGTAAAAGGAGATTTTTTTTTTTTTTAGTTTAGTTTTGTTTTTTCAAATACTGTCTATATCCTGCTTAATAAACAAGATGCCTGTATATAAGAAACAAAACTTATCTGGGGGTGTAGCTCAGTGGTAGAGCACATGCTTAGCATGCATCTAGATTCAATCTGATTCCCAGCATCATAAAAAAAGTAAAGGCCCACTGAATCTTTCTGGAAACAGGGTCCTGTGTTTTCAGGTGAACTCAGAGAACTGGAAAGTGATCAGGATAAGACAAATTCAGAAGTGCATTTAGGATTGTTTCATGAAGGGCTAGTTTCTAAGACAGTTTGGGACTATATTAAGAGACCAAGAGACTTGAATTTTTTATGACAAGTGCCCCCACTCCCCATGAGACATACCTTGGTTGTCGTTTCTAGAATGATTTCTTTGTGCAGAAGTTCAACCACCATTTTCACATGACCTTCTTTAGAGGCCAGATGCAAGCCATTCAACCCATTCTGAAAAGAGCAGAGAGGTAGGAGAGGTGGTTAGTGGGAATGTATATTCTCTACCCTGGAAAAAGGCCCCACTCCAGTCATGAGGTATATGAAGGAGTAGCAGGACAGAACTGGAGGAACACAGAGCAGAAATGCCCAGACTCCCTTAGTACCTCTTGTGTAGGAGTATCAGGAGCAGGAGAGCAAAGAATGAATGACCACCACTCCCCAGACAGAAACTGAGTTTTGTAAAGTTCTCCCCAAATCAATGGCAGAAGCTTCAAAATAAGATTACTGGCAGTCTTTAGGCATTGGTATGTTTTAGAAGTGCTCCCCGAATACCTATGTGTCAAAGGCTTCTCTGACAGCCTGTGGTGCTATTGGGAGGTGGTAGAAACTTTAATAAGAGGTGGGGCTAGTGGAAAAAGGTTAGGTCACTGGAGGCGTGTCCTTGAAGGGGATATTGGGATACAGGTCTCTTCCTCTTTCTCTTTCACTTTCCAGCTGCCCAGAGATGAGCAATCCTCCTCTGCCATATGCTCACACCATGATGTATTGTGCTGCCACAGGCCCAAAGCAATAGGGCCAAGTGACATGGACTGAAACCTCTGAAACCATGAGCTAAAATAAACCTTTTCTTTTATTAAGTTGGTTTTTTTCAGGCATTTTGCACCGCGACAGAAGGCTGACAAACACAAGCAACCGGCTTAATGGAAATGGTTGATAGAGCGTCAGTTCCCTGGTGAATTTTCATAGCAGCAACCAGAAAAAACAAAGAGGTAATACCACTATGCATCAGTCAGCTTTGCATCACGGTAACTGAAAAACCTGACAAGAACAACTTACATGAGGAAAAGTATATTTTGGGCTCACAGATTCAGAGATCTCAGTCTATCATCAAGTAATTCTATTCCTTGGGTCCAAGATGAGGTAGAATCCCATGGCGGAGGATAGCTGCTCAGCTCATGACAGCTGGGGAGCAGAGAGAGTGGGGTGAGGGAAAGAGATGAAGCAGCAGGGAAGATGAACCCTGCCAGGGCACACCTCCATGACCCCATCTCCTCCAGTCAAGTCCCGCATGCCTACAGTTAATCACCCAGTTCGTCCATTCCAAGTAGGATGGACTGATTAGAGCTCTCATAATCTAATTATTTTCCCTCTGAATATTCCTCCATCAACACCAGAGCTTTTGGGGGGGCACCTCATACCCAAACCATAATACGGTGTGTCCTCCACATTTGCAGAGACATGCTTGCATTACTAAGTGATCAACTTTGAAATAAGGTCTCATATGAAAACATGTATTGCCACCCACCTAGTTATACGACTTCCTTGATAGAAAAATTGGTATTAAAATAGCCCTTTTCACAATCTGCCATTTCAAATATGACCAAAAAAAGCCTGCTTGCTAGTTTAGTTGTAGGAAAAACAAAACAAAATACATTTTTCATGCCCAATCGTCAGCTCACAAAAGCAGACCTCTTGCTAACCAGTGAAAGTTCTATCCTGTCTTGTGGAGCTACCTCTGTGCTCCAGGGAAAGCAGCCTGGCTCAGGATGTATTCCTCACTCTCCTGCTTCCTGATCTTCTGATCCTTCTTTCACTTAAAGGTCTTGAAACTTTCTGGCAACAGCTGACATCAAAGAGTGCTACTGAGAGCCACAGATAATTCCCACAACACATTGGAATAAAATTTCAATTCCAGTGGATGAGTAGATCATGGCTGGGTACAGAAAATGATTTTAGTCAGTGAGCAATCTCCATCCCCTGCTTTTATTTTGTTTTGCTCCTCGCCTCCTCCTTCCCTGCCAATAATTCTCCTCTCCCCTCCCACTCCTTCCCGGCTTCCGTTTTGATCAATTTTGTTCTAGCACCTTCCTTTCCCGGGGATACCCCTGAGTCACTGCAAACTTTCAGTTAATAAAAACACGTCCACCAACACAATGGGGGCTTGGTTCCTAAGAGTGTGATGTGAGGGATCTCTGACTCACTGTCTCTGGACATTTCTGTAGTGTCACCTGAATTTCTTAAGTCCCACTCCACTTGGGACAGGGCATCATTTCCAGAGATTCCTGTTAAAGCAGAAATTTGCTACTTGGAGGTGGTTGGGCCTCAGTCCATTAATGGACTAGCCATACTGCTTTGTTTATCAGCCTAGGAAACGCTGTTGGGAATAAAGCCCTGATGGGAAAAGGGAAGGAGAACTAAATTGACTTCACGCAAGAGCCTTCGACTGGGGGCAAATTCAACAGGTGCCTAGCTGGGTGTGGTGGCACATGTCTGTAATCCCAGCTATTCATGAGGCCAATATAGGAGGATTGCAAGTTTGAGTCTGGGCTGGACAACTTAGTAAGACCCTGCCTTGACTTAAAAATAAAAATTAAAAAATGGCTGGGGGTATGTAGCTCAGTGGTAAAGCACCCTGGGTTCAATTCCCAGTACTGCAAAAACAAACAAAACCAAAAGCAATGACAACAAAACAGGTGCCTTGAGTGTCAGACAAGAGAGGAGGCTGCAAAGGGAACTTTACCTATGTCCTGTTTAGATCAGGTCTGACCGCACCTCGAGCAACCAGTGAGTGAGGATGGCCACATCTTCGCCCAGCAATACAACTGGTTTTCCCAGGATGTGTCTCTGTGTGTATGTGCACAGGTAGGTAGGTAGATGTGTGGGGCTGATGGGAGGGACCCTTCATTACACACTGCCTCGTAGAAATGCCCTTCAGTTGCCACTAGATTTCCTTCTCCCGCAGATTCTCTACACTATTCAAGGTAGGGTCCAAAGCTGTGTGAATTCCTCACACCCCAGTGTGAATGAGTTTATCAGATCAAAGATAGGTCAGAGCTAGTTTTCCTAACAAAGGGAGAGAGTGCTGGAAGGCAGGCAGCAGTTTGTTAGAACAGGAAGCTGGGTGAAATGAAAGAACACTGGACAGATGCTAACCCATCCTCTCAACTCAATTTGCAAGATACAGTTCACAGAAGAGCAATGTGTCAAGTGAGGGGTTCTCCTGAGGCCAAACCCCCTCATTTAGCCACTCCCTGCAACTCTGCCACTTGCAACTGTTTCCTGGGGTAGGGCTCATGAGAGGAGTTGCTCCTTATTAGAGCACAGCTCCCTCTGTGCGGTAGCCTCAAGCCTAGAAGGTTCCAGCACTGAAAGCAGGCACCCTGGGATTACATGGGAATTGGCAGTGGGGTGTGTGGATGCTGGAGCAGCTGCTGCAGTCTGCATACTGCAAGAGACAACTCTAGCTGGGGAAGCAGCCAGCGTAGCCTTGGTGCTGACGGCTGGAGTTTCAGTGCCTACTTGGGCAGCACAGACACAGTGATGGGCATTTGTTGGTCCTGAATGCCTTAAAACTGGAGAGTTGGCAAGCCAGGGAGAAAATACCTCATGTTTCCCCACTCTTTGGAGCCAGTGTCCAAATCTCAATCCAGAGGGATTCTAGATTCTGTCTGAGCAGAGACTATTAGAATCCCAAGGGATATCAGAGATCCATGAATTCTACCCTTTCATGCAGCTAAAGAAATTGAGGCACAGGACAGTCAAATGATTAGCTGAAGTCACATAGTCTTTCTAGGCACAGCCATATACAGAACTAGTCTGGGTTTTCCAGAGAGAAAGGGTTTGTTTTTTTCTCCCCCAGGAGCTAGTGTGCTCCCTTCTATCAGATGATGACAGCTTACCTTCCCTTTCTGAGCTATCAAGAAGCTTAGAGCAAACATTCAGTCATAGCAATCATCCCCATGGACCTGACTGAGATCTCTGCAATCCATCTCTAGGATTTTGTTCATTGCCCAGGTCCACGGAAAGCCCCTTTTCTTTCCTCCCTGGGTCATAAGCCTTCTCTTGGCAGACAGCGGCCATCTTCCACCCAAAAGGACCCATCTGATTGGGTCTGCATCTCTCCTAGTTTTACATACCCTCCATCCCAGATCCTGGTTCAATGATGTCTTTCTCCTTTATGACTCTTTCTTTATCTTTCTTACTTTATTTTTAACTTTTTTGTGTTCCACATAGTCTCCCTAAGTTACTTCCATGTCTCTTCCATGTGGTGATCTGAATCACCGTCCTTATCTGAGCCAGGAAGGTGGTTGGGCATGAGTCCATTAATGGACTACCTGGAACAGTTAACGAGGGTATCTAAGAAGGCCCAGGAATTTCATGCATAATAAAACTACTTCTGCAATAGGACCATAAGGATCATTTGTCTCAACCTCATTTATGGCCACTGCTCCACCTAACATTGAGACATTTACTCAATCCAGTTCAAAAAACACTTATCGAGAGCCTATTGTGCCTGACAGTGTGCTATAGATGAATAAAATACAATCATTTTCTCTTGAAGAATATGGCTTTGCGTGACAAACAGATGCATACAAAATAAATGCAGAATCATAAAAAAAAAAGCTCCCCAAATGGCATGTGTAAGATTAGCAGTAACACAAAGGAGTAAGGAGCTCCTCTGTCAAGGAGGCCAGAGCTTCACCAAGGCTGTTTCAAGGCCCAGGAGCCGGCCTGGAAACAGTAGGGTTGCAAGTTTATGAACAACAGCAAGATGAGAAGCCATGTCTGATTTTAAAATCTAAACCCATGAGCTAATATTTTATAATCTATTCTCAGTGGTTCTCATCCAGTGCATCTGAATTTAACAGATGCACAAATATCAGACTCATAGTGGCAAGTTTTCAGCAGCAACAGGCCTCCTTAGGTAGATGACTGGTCAATAGACATAAGTTATCAACGTCCAGAAGCTGGAGTTGCTGAATGCCTAAAAACCGATTTTCCTGTATCACTGTCTTATTCAATGCATAACTACCCCACCCAGAGACCACTTCCTATATTCAAAAGAATGTTCACTGATAAATAGTACATTTAATGCTTTCTTTTTCTTAAACAGATTTTTTTAATTGCTGAAATGAGAAAGGGAAGAGTGCAAATTATGTGAAGCATTTGTTCTTAGCTATGACTATGGACAGAGATGAACTGTAATTTACCACCCCTTCAAAACCAGGAAC